GAATGCAATGTGATTTCCTCTCACTCCATCATTTTTCTATTGTTTTTCCATGATAATAATCTATGATAACATACAAAATTGATCAGATTAAGGAGTTGATTTGATTATTCAGTGAAAATTTCCCGGGAAGAATGATGAAAGAGATTGATGAAAATATGGATATCATTAAGATATGAGAAAATTATCGCGATTAACTTAATCTATCTCTCAATAAAACGTTTCATCATAATTTAAAATAGTTGCAAAAAATGATGATAATAACAAACCTGAGTACCAGAATTCTCTCGCTGACGTTGCTTGATTACAGAAACCTGGAAGTTTAAAATAATCGTCCAGATAAGTCCTAAAGTTAACTTAGGACTTCCTTCCACAATATCTTCTGGTCGAATATTGACGGTTTTGATCTGAAATTGAAAACTGTCAAATTTTTAATTCATTTAGAATCTTGAATGGCATTAATTTTGACACTTCAGGAAGAGTTAACAAACTGGTAGAATATTGAATTCAGAAAAAAGACATTTGAAACTTCAAAAACCTCACTCTACAATGATATGATATGATATGATTTTTAAAGCAAAAATAATTTATGCAACTGAAATTTAAATTTAAAACTGATTTACATTTTTCCTTTTCAAAAAATCCAAGCAATATTGCACATTTTGTATCCTATGAAAACGTGTGTACCCATTTTCACGAGGCTGAAAAGATTTCAATAATTATTTAAAATGTTGCACATTTTATGGAGTTTTAGATGAAAGATATAGCAAATTTCGGTCGCATTACGATCTTTCGTTTAAACATTTAAACAATTATAATACTAAATAATTTGTTTTATAGCATTTATCAATAATTAATTTTGTTAATTTAATAATAGGAAATGAAAGAGTGCTGCATGAATAGAAACATTTCTTATTAACTGAATTATTAATTATTTAAAATTTTTTTCTCATTTAAATTTTTAACATTCCTTCTCTTCAACGATTAGAAATAAAATTTGTAGAAAATTAAATGGAATGTTTTATTTTGTAAATATTAATTAGTTGTGCACACATTCTTCTGAAGGAATTTCTATGGTGCCAGCTGAAATTAAATTGTTTGGTATAAAAAAAGATTGGATGTTGATGTGATGGTTAAAAATTATTGAATGTGTGAACTTCTATAGCACTTCACTTATAAAAAGAACAGGTTATTTTCATTTTAATTTATGAAGCATAGAAAATTGTTAATTAATTACTTTGTTCGCTTTTTTCATTTCGAAAATAAAAAGTTTTGTTTTTTAAAGGAATGAAATGCTCAAAAAGTGTGTAATGAGAAGATAAAATGGAAGAACAAAAATGGGGGAAAATTCGATTTTATAGTGAATTTATTGATAAAATCAATATTATCAAATATTAAAAAAGTTTAAAGCATAATTTAAATGAAAATCTTTTTAGTGATAATGTCTTAATGAAACTCAATTAAATGAAGTTAATTTTTTCTAATTAATAATTTAATGACTGAATATTATTACAGTCTTTTAAAGTTTAAGATTTGCAAGAAATAGAAATGATATTCAATTTACTGACAGTACTTTAAAATTGGATTAATAAATGAGAGCTTCCAAGTGTATCAAACTAATTAATACTGCAAATATTATATTTAAATCTATTCTCAAATTTATGATTGTTTTTGAATATCAGCAATGATAGTGGGAAAGTAACTAATTAGAAATGATCGCTCTAAAATATAATAAACTAATTTACTTAATTACTAACCGATCACTTCATTAAATAAATTTAGATATTAAATAAAAGGAATTAATTTTGTAATTAATGAGATTAAAGTTCATTTAAATGGAAGTAATTTAATTCTATTTTTGATTCAAATTAACATAGAAAAATATTGACAATTTAACTCTAAAACAACACTTCAACAATAAAAACCATCAATTTTTTAATACATTTCTATTTTAACAAATTTATCTGAAAAATGAAAAATTCCATTGAAATAGGACTGTCTGTTATTAACAATAATAATAAAAGATAGAAATGAAATAGATTGATTGATTTAAGACAAAATCTAATTCTAATATTATTGTAATGAGATTACATACCAGCTTCTCAGCGGAAAGTGCCTCGAGCAATGCTATGAGATTGTATCCATCAGTGAGATCAACAAAGAGATCTTCCACATGTAGGCCAGTCTGCAGAAAATTAAATTAAACAATCAAAAATCTTTCCTTTTCCATCAACTCCATCTGAATGATAATAAATCTATCAATCAATATTATCACTTTAAGATTGCGATAAAAAGAATAGTACTCCTCGTTTTTTAGATTTTCGACCTTTTTTTTCAATCTGAAAATGTGAAATTTTCGGATTTCTCTTTTAAAGCATAAAAACAATATTCGATATGTGATATACACGTAATTCACGTAAACAGTTAACATTATCTTATCCATATTTTACGTATCAAACCAAACTGTATATTATATTGAGTGATTTTTGATTTTATTAAAGAAAATTAGATGTGAAATATTTTTTTCATAAATTTAAGATATACAGAATCATAGAAATTAGTTTAATAGACTGAATGAATTTTAAAGAACATTAATGATTTTAATGGAAAAGAACGTAATTGACCTTAATATTATATTACAGGTGTGAAATAAGGAAATATCATCCGATATGGACAACTTCATTTTACATTTAACTTTAATAAAAGCTATGTGAATGGAATTATATAGAACATTGAGTTTTTTTTTTTAAACATTCTCCATATTTTTACCGTAGGAATCACAATTTTCTTATTGGATAATTTACTTGGGCTGTTTATCAGAATTGATAAATTTTTTCAACATCGCTCATCCACCAAGGAGAATATAATGCGTTACTGACAAATTGCTATTCATTAATTGAATAATAGATTGTTGCTGTATGGTACTTTACCATTTAACTTATTTTAAATGTTTTATGAAAGATGAAATGAATGATTATTGAATACTGTAAGTATGGTACCTGTTTATGTTTCATCAATCATTCAATCATTTCTCAATAAAAAATTATTTAACATTAGAAGGATTGTTATATGAGATGATATAACGAAAGAAACGGTTAATTCATATAAAACTTTTCGGGAAACCGAAAATTAAAAATATTCTTTTTTCCGGAATGTCATTAAAAATTAAATTTTATACAGCGAAGAAATTCAGATTATTTACTTTTTAACTTTCCACAAAGTTATTACTTACAAAGACATGTATTTAAACTAAATGAAAATTCTAAAATTCACTTTGCATTTTATTGTTCTTAAAAAAATTTTTCTTTCTGAGAAATTAAGTGTTTTCTTTGAATGAGAAGAGAGAGAGAGAGAGAGAGATAAAGAAAGAAAAGAGGAATGGATTGAATATTTCGATTTAATTCGCCTAAATTTTGTCGCTAAAATTCGAAATTAAAAATTCAAAAGAAAGTTTTAGAACTTGAAATAATGCAACAGTTCAATATTGCCATTAAGAAGAACAAAAAAAGGAAAAATTAATTAATAGATAAAAAGGTAACCTTGCCAAGGTGTTTGCTCACCCATTTTGTAAATGTTTTCTTTTGAATCGCATCTCGCTCATCTAAAATAAATCAATATATTTTAATTAGAAAGTTGATAATTTTAAAATTAACAAAAACAACAAACTTTCTATTATTTCTGAATTTACTTATAAAAAGGTAAAGGTAATTAAAGATCGTTCAACAAATGAATAAATTAATTCTTCAAAAAATAAAGATACAATGATAATTTCAAACAATTCACATCAATTTGTAACAGATAACAGTTCATTTTGGAAATTTATGCAAAATTGAATTTTTTATAAAAATATTACATAAATTCAAATAATGGCTTTTTTATATTCTCTTAAGAAATCAAATTCGATTTCATATTTCACTGTATTATGGAAGTGATAATAGATGATAATATCAGGGATAATATTAGGACAAAAAAGCGAGAGAGTTCAATTATGCCAAGAAGAGATGATATTGATCAGTTAAAACCAACCAATCATATAAAGTTTTAAAATGCTCAATCATATAGAGCTTTAGAATGCTCAAGTATAAATATGTATTAAATATTTTCATAGCTGATTTAGAATGAAGAGAAGAGTCAAAATTGATACGAGGAGATATAAAAGTAAAATATGGGAACCATATAAAAATCTGCCGTATGATGATAGTTTAGAGGTTAAGCTAATTGAATCGACTAATGACAAGTTACTGAAAAATTGAACAAGAGGTATAATATCATGGAATGTAAGTTTCTTTTGGATTAACAAAAAGATGTGCTCAATTTTTTAGAAATTATAAAACAATGAAATGATCTAAGAGCTCAACACAGAATTAATATTTGAGATAATATACTGATAACAATTAAAATTTTTATGACAGAGATTATCCCTGAAATGAAATGAATATTAAATCAATCAACCGAAATAAGTACAATCTGTGGAAGAGATTTTTTTAGATCGTTTCTTAAATTTCATCCAAATTTCAATCATAAATTTTCAGTATTATCGTCTCTTAATTATTATCAGTAAATTTGCTAACAAAAGATTCGTATGATTAAAATTATAAGACTTATAAAAAAGAAAATAATAAGTAGAGAGAAAGAGAGAGAAAGAAAGAGAGAGAGAGATGAAAGAGAGAGAGAGAGAGAGAGATGAAAGAGAGATAAATGAAGTGATGTGATTTTCAATTTGAATACAAAAAGAGATACGGAAGAAGAAATGAAAAGAGATAAAGCATACTAAAACATATAAATGACAATTCTGAGAATTTTAACTTCTCGAATTGTTTACTAATTTTTAACGCATATTTCCTTTTTTAAGTTTTGCTTCTTTTTTTCAAGTCGCTATTCCCTTTCAAATTGTTCTTTCGAAAGTTTCAAGCTAATTTAAAAACTAGCAATTAATAAAGCTTAAGGTATTTTTCTCAGTTATTGAAAGCTTTCACTTCTTCTGAAACTTTTCAAACACATCGATGATGTAAATGGGAGAATATGTAATCAAATACATTTTGCTATTTATTATCTTTCTATTCTTAGGAAGTGATAAGAAAAGTAATAAAATTAAATCATTCTTATCAGTGTGGAAAGAATAATAAATTGCGATGAAAGTCATTTATTTATTAAACAGATAGTGAAATATTTTTAATCACAAATTTTCAAAAATGATCGATATGATCTAAAATATTATCAGTGAAATTGATATGTATTTTTAGCGATGGGAACTTTTAATTATTTATACAGAAGATTGCAAGGAAGTGATGAACATCGTGGTAAATTATGATAATTAATGTAGGAATGAATAGAATAGAATAGAATAAGATAAACTTACCTTTGTATTTTTCCAAATTATTTTCATAATGCTCTAAGCATTCAGTTTCATTGGAATCAAGACAGTAATACTCAGATGATGAGACATCCGATGAATATCCCTGATATGAGAATGGTGTTGAGGAAAGTGACATTCTTGATAGCTTGATATCAGGAATACATCATTATCAATATACTTAGGTCATCCATCGGAATGTTTTTTTTTCTAACAGCAAAAGGGCTTGTAATATCATTGAAATAAACCTCTCTAAGTTCAATCTATAAATTTTAAAAAATATGACGAAAAACAAAACACGAAAAATGATCATTATAAATACGAAAGGAATTGTAAATAGGTAATTAGACGGGCCTAAAAACCTTCAGGAGTGAAGATCTTCAAGTGTATTAAAAGGATAGATTTAGTCGTATAATATTCACTCAACAACACTGAAATACTATTGCATCATTTATTGTTTAAATAAGTAATCAAATAATTAATTGAACAGTAATGATTGGAGATAAATTTATCATTATCAGTAAAGTAAAAAATAAAATCAGCAATTGTTTGAATTGAGATAATAATATAAATTTAAGATAATTGGAAAAAAGTAATTAAAGTTAAAGTGAAATGAGCATATCCATTAGAGAGGACAAACGTCAGCCGTGAGAGGACAAAGGTCAGCCGTCACCTTCCTTCTTCTCCCCCTCTTCTATCATGCAAATTGCGAAATTAATTTCTATGCTGCAATTTCATTTGGTAGATTGATTTTAGTAAATTAACCTATCAATAAATCCTAACACAATGAATCTCCCGAACCTAATGATATAAATCAGAGGAAGGATGACTGAGAGAGAAGTTGATGAGAAGAGACCTTTTTGAATATACACAAACTGACATCAATCCGACGATCTTTCGGCTATCAGAGTTCGAGCTGATGAAGAAGTGCAACAAATGAGAAGAGAATGAGATGAAAAAGGATTCAAAAAAGATCACTTCATTCGTTATCGCTAGCCGAGAAAGAGAGAGAGGAAGAGGTACAGAAACAATTGTTGGCATTTGCATATCCGAGCAAAATTCAGTGGAAGGTGGTAGCACATATGCACATTATGGAGGGAAGGTTGTGACTAACATATAAAAAAGATGAAAAGATGAAATGGCTAGTTGAATTCAAGCTGGCGGATGCATAAAAACCATTTGGCTCATTTGCATCAAAATGCTTCTTGCACTAATTATCGTTGTTGTATAAACTGAACGGATATTACCGCCTATCTTCCCCTCCTTCTATCGATGTGAAAGGAAAAAAAGAATGAATGAATAATATAGATGAAGGGATAGTTATAATTAATTACAGAATCATTTCAATCAATATGATTACATATTTCATCATTGAGTAAACTTTCATATAAAGGATTAGTATAATTATCAAAACTATTAACATTAACTTCGCTTATCATATCTTTTACTCTTTCTAGAAATTTGGATAAAATTAAGGGAACAGGTAAACAGGTGTTCCTTTTATCATTTTATATCACTCTCTTATTTCTGCTTTATCATGACTAATTGAAAATTTCATATTATATATCAATTACTATCATCTAAATATACTCAATTATTATCATATCAATATTTTAATGTAATAAATTTTTCATAGTTAAAATATTATGATATTCCTTCTCCGATATCGTATTAGATTTTTTCTGCGAATTACCTAGTGATGATAACAGAGATTTGATAATGATATAATAGTGATAGTTCATAGAATCCTTATAAATTCTCAGCAAATGTCCAATGTTCACAAGTGGTCTGTCATCTGTACTGGCCAAAAAATATTGATTGGCTAAGAGAATTATCAATTGTCTAAGAGGATAATTGAATGGCCAAGAGAAGAACCATTGGCCGATCATTAGATGCGTATATTCCTCTCTGGACTGAATTTCAACTAATAGAATTTTCAAGTAGTTCAGAAACAAACTCATTCCTGGGTTGAGGAACACAGTTAGTTGAGGAAACGTATTCCTATCTAATAAAAATGAGTGGACAATTTGGAAATGTCATTTTCAATGAACTTAAATTTTCGTTATTAAAAAAGTTGAATTAACTGTACAAAAAAAAATGCGAGAGGGAAACGCCTGTCCACTATTTATAAACTTGTGATCGATCCGTACATCACACACACCCACATCTCTCTACTGGAATCATTACTAAAACAAACACACACATACATACGCACACACACGAACACGCACAGACAGATCATATACAAGTATACATAAATATTTGTATACACTATTACCAGACGCATATAGCTATTTTCAATATCTCACAATTTCAACACAACTTGATGATATTATTGTACCGCGTGCAGGACGGGAAATGTCAATGCAAATCTCTGCGAAACATTCTCCTAAAACATTGTTGCATTGCGATGTAAACAAAGAATTAAATATAACAGTTAATTTTATGGAACATTATTTTATACTATTTTTTTGTGAAAGAAATATGATATTTCATAAAATTTTTGGGCCAGTATATTAAATGGCTATGAGGTGGCAAGAACATTGATGCATATAAATGCCAGCTTCTCCCTCTCTCTTTACCGCCATTTGTAAACTAAAAAAAGAAGAAACAATGCATTAACATTATCATCAGGATGAACTTTGACATGAATGTATTTTCTGTGCTATAAATTCATCAGCAAAAAAAAAGTACTTTTCTAATTAATAAATTATCATGAAAGAGAATTTTTAATGATTATGTAAATGTGATTTAGTCATCTGCAGATAGCACATAATATTTTTTAATAAAAAAAATGGAACTGATAACTTGGAGCAAAATTAAGGTGACAAAATTTCTATCATTTAATAAGTGTAAAGTAAGGAGTTATGAATAATGCTTAGGTATGATTATATGAAACATTTAGATGTGAAATATTAAGATCCTACAGAAATTGTAAGGGAGAATTTAAATTAAACTATTGATACAATCTATTAAGTTCTAGTTTAATTCAAACTTGTTCTCAGGTATATAGATAGTATGTTAAAATTTTTGGCTTATTAAATTCATTTTGAAGTTTGATATCACTTCAGCTTATCAATTATCATATATGAAGAATGACATCAAATAAGGGCATTAGTCAATAAATTCTAAAAATCGAACGAAGAAAATTAAAAAAACGCAGAACTGATTGGAAGCTGAGTGAAGGCATAAAGCATATACAAAATGCCTCAGCTATTTAATGAAATAGGAAGTGTCTGAAGTATGCTTTAGCAAATCGATTAAAGTCTGTCAGCAATGTTAGGAAGGTTGGATGAATATGAATTTCACTTTTTTTTTTGAAATTATTGTTTCAATCCATTTTTCTTCCATTGAAGGAATTACTTACTGATCGAACGAATAGAAGCGTTACTTCTTATTCTCCCAAACACAATTTATTTAACTGTGAATTCACTTTTGTTAATGAATTTTAGCACATATGTGAAATGTAAGAGCAATAGCTGAACAATTTTAAAATGCTTATTAATGGAATTGGATAATCATATTCGAACACAATAAATTCCTATTAGCGATTTTAGTTAGCTTTGCATAAAATTATAGCATTTCATTTTGAGGTTTTAGAAAAAGCTCAGAAAATTGCTACCATAAACTGACCAGATAAGATTATAATGATGGAAATCGATGATAACTTGAAAATTAATCAGCAATTTGACAACGCATGTCGTAGACTTTTTCTTTCTAATATTCCGATATTAAATAAGCCAATGTTTCTCCTAGACTGATTACAATGATTGACTTAAACTAATCAGCGACATTGAATTTAAGTGAATTTAAAGAAGGAAAAGTGAGAATAGCCTTAAAACGTTTAATTGTAATAGCTCAAGAACAAAAAGAAAGTAATGATATGATCAAAAGAACAAAACAGTGATATCCCAAATATCGGGGGAGCGGGAAGGACAAAAAAGGACGCTCCAATAGGAATTTGCATTTAAGCAAATTAAAATGAAGATTAATTAAAATTCTAATTCAAATGAATGGTTATGTGATGAGAGAAAAAAATGAAGTGAAATAAAATGAGTGAATTTATTGATTTGTAAATTAGAGTAAATTTAATGTTTCAAGTGAATTAGAAAGTACATATGAAAGAAGGAGAGAAGGGTAATAAAATATGATGATTATTGGGAGGGGAAAGGGTGGCAGTAAACAAATGAGAAGCGGTAATATTAGCAAACGATAACTGGTAGTGAAATTGATTTGTGAGTTAAAATCGTATAATTTTAAACAGGAAATTAATGAAGAAAGAGTCACTCTCTTATAATTCTATTTTATTTTAAAATTTTAACATATGATTTTAGAAGTTTAATTGATTGAAGAATTCCTTTTTTTAAAGAAAGAAAGATTCAGATAATTTATTATTCACATGTCACTTCTCTTAAAAGTAGAAAAATTTTAAATGAAAGTAAATTTAGACAAAAGTCATCGATGAAAAGCAATTCACAATAATAGGCGTAGAAAAGAAAAAGAGATGTGATAAACGGTGGTGTGATTTGATAGAAGCAATGTTAGCACAAATTGATAAACTTTTATCAGCTTGCAAGAGTATGTTCTATTGAATATTATTATATGATTGTGTGCTTCTCGATATTAGCATCTCTTTTACATCATTGATAATCTTCCCATTTCTTGTTTCATTTCTTTATAACTATAAAGAATAATATGACATATCATTACTTGGTCTTATCAATATCTTGCTACTTATTTGTTCAAAATTGTAGTATTATGAAATGCTAAGCGTAGTAATAACAAAGAATCCTGAAGTAACCGGATATGGAGTATCTCAAAGTTTCTGAAATGAATTGCTATCTTAAGATATATGAATGAAGTTATTGAAACAATGTCATAGTAACATCTTCTTTGATATATTTCCATAATTAACTATACGCCGTTTTAATTTTCGCAGTTGTAAATTTGCTAGAATTGTTTTTTGAACTAATTGGTTTCTAATTAACAGTCATCAAAGCCATTTTCAGTTTATAGTTTTATTTTCTTTCGTTTTGATTATTTATTTAACTTTTTATCATACCTAAAGTTTTATTGGTAAATTAATTAACGCTTTAAAAAATACGCAATTTAACTGTATTCTATTTTGGAAGTTTTTTGCTTTTGCTATCAGGTTAATGGAACTACATGGATGTAATTAATGAATTAATTGAATATGTAAAGAGTTGTGAAAGTAAAAGTAAATGATTCTTTTGGAAAATGAAAGTAAAAGTAAAAATTTCTTTTGTGAATAGAAATGTTAATTCTTAAGAATTTTACTTTCAAAAAAATTTCATCAAAAGTCTTTTCATTTTAATTCGATATTTGAGGATGATATCAATTAAATCAGAAAATTCCTGTCTTTATGATCTCAAAAGTATCTAATTTCTTTTCATATTTTATTTAGCTTTGATTTTTATCGGCGCATATTGTTTCTATTTTAATTAGGAATACATTTTAGATACTAAAAGAACTTCGTTCGTTTGTATCCATTCAATTCACTAATGGTTAAACTTTATTTGAACAATAAAATATAAAATGAATTTTTTTGATAAGAAGAAATCATTAAAGATAAATGATTAGAGAAGTCAGTCAATTTCTGTTTCTTCATTTGAGAAATTTAATTCCTAATCCATTCTAATGTAAATTTTTACCTCAAGTTTTCTCATATTCAAATGATTGATAAAACTTTTCGTAAATGATTAGCGAAAATTCATAAGTGACACAACACGACACGACACGACACGACCGACACAACATGACACGATAATGTATTGTATAATTAAAGGACTTCAATTAAAAATTTCAACTTTAATTTTAATTTCGAAGTATGGAAATTAAAATATCAATGACGAAGAAAGAATTGTTTTAGCGAAAATTCATTAGATGGAATGATTGAAAGAGTATTTTCCTTGCTACCAAAGAAATACAGTAAGATGAGTTAGAAGAATAGTAGATAGTTGAATCTTTAATCAATTAGAAAATGTTAATTATTTCAAAAGGTAGCGGAAATGCATTTATGCCACTCCTATCTCAACTCTCCATTTATACTACAATGAGGGAATTGTCTTCAATTTCCTACAGACTTCTATCAGTTATCATTTGCTGATAATAACGATATTATCAGAAGAGTTAATTTCGATTTAAAATGTTAACGATTAAAAAATGAGTAAAAACTTGAAATATTACAGGAAAAAATTTTTACTGTTTTAAGAAAGAAAAATGAGAAAAGCAAATAGAATATTTGGAAATTTTATATGAATAAATGGTGTAAGAAAAGAGTAAAACAATTTTTCGCTATCTGAGAGATGAAAGATAACGATCGTATCGCTGTCAAGGTCGGATTATTCAAATTACATTCGGAAAATGAAAGTATTTTTGGATGTATGATATTGATTTCACTTTTCTTATATCATATATATATATATATATATATATATCAATGAATAATTAAACATATTATAATTTAATTTTTTAAACATTTTTTGTTTAATTTAGCTAATAATGATAATAGCAATGATAATTGATAATTGATAACTATACGATCATTCATTGATTTATTTACCAACATTTTTCATGAAATTTCTAGAATTTCAATAGAGAAAACGAGAAATCTGATGAAAAAAATTTTGAAATCTTTGATGAGGAAAAATGTGCCAAATCATTGCACTTGCGAAGAGAGATTGTGTGTCCAAGCTATTGGCTATTGGCTATTGGCTATTCGCTTTCTGTAGGTATTGTGTTGTCATATTGAAATTTTTCTGACATTTATTTATTTATTTATTTTTTGCATTTCTATTATTATTGTTTACAGTAATGGTAAACCGAAAAAGAAAAGAGATAGTTTATGAGAAACTGTGGAAAATATAACTTTCGATACTGAAAATACAAAATGATAGTGTGTAAATATTAAATTCAAAATTTATATGAATGAAAAACTAATTGAAATTTCAAAGAATTATAGCAAGAAAAATTTTTTCTTATAGATTGAAAATCTATTGCTATTTGATTTAAGTAATAATATAATTTTGCTAATTTAGCAAAAAGAGTTATTAATTTCTTTGAAACAATTATTGAAATATTGAAGTATAAAAAAAATTTATGATTGCATCCTACCGTAAAATAAAGTCAATAAGTTAAATTATGAATCAACAATTTCACTTTTTTATTTCATATACAATGGCATACTCGTTCTTATCAAATTAATCATCACCCACCTATCCGGGAAACTTAATCACTATCTACCTATTCGGAGAAAAAATTCCTATCTTAAAGAATAATTAATGATAGAAGTAAGAGATTTTAGCTTATTATACATATGTCTTTAATTAGCTAGGCCAAATAAATGCTGTACTATTGTGCTGCAAATAGCTTCCAAATCATTGATAATATTAATGTATTGATAGAGACTGATAAGGTACTATCATGAAGAAGAAATTTGAAATTTGAAAAAGTTCAGAAAATTATGATACATCGATTAGTTCATAGGATATCCGAATGCTGTAACAAGAGATATAGCAATCATTCTCTTACACAAAATATCATTACTGCATTGGTCACTTTATCTTGTGATAATTCATTTTAACTCAATATCGCATATAGTAGCACAATTAATCATTTGAATTAAATATGTAACATATGGTAAGATATAGTTGAAGAAATTTATTTAACCATTCACATACTATTTAGGAAATTTAAGATATTCCGTTCACTTGTTGTGAATGAAGAAGACTTCGTAGATAATTTAGACAAAATTGAATCAAATAAGAAAGAAAGAAAAAGGAAAACCGGTTGGAAATTTATTATTCAAATTTTGAAGTTTTTTTTTCTGGAAAAAAGAACTAACCTCCAATTTTTAGAACTAATCGTTCCGTTCGATCCAATCGAAGAACACTAATCGGTTGATTTCTCATCCATTCCTCCCATTTACTACTGTTATTCTGTTCACTCTTATCATTATCATTATCATCATGATCATCGTCATCATTGATATTACCATTTTTTCGATACATAACATTATCGTTTCTTTTTGACATATATTGTAAATATCGTTCTTGCGCTCTACGATCGTTTATCATATTTACACTAAAATACATTAGAATATTTATATTTTTAAAAAATTTTTTTAATTGAAATATAATTAATTACTTTCAGATTTTTTTGATACATTTCACTACGGAAATTATTATTTATTTCGAAATTAAGTAATTGAAATATATAATTCATATTTAAATGTAACAAAAATCGGTTATTTGCGCCTAATAATGACTTGGATGAGTCATTCAGTTCATTTAGTTATGGTTTAATTCAAATGTAAATTAAAAAATATTCAACAAATTAAATCAATCGCTGAAAATACTAGTTTCTATTAAAATAAATAGCCTCATGAATTTATGGAAAAGTTTTGAAAATTTCATATCTATCTAAATCATCACAATGAAAATATACTTTGTAATCAACCCAGTCTAACAGTTATCTCTAGTCGTTTCATTAATCTATCTGTTTGATTAAATAATTTGCATAAGAATAGATCGGAAGAGATCAAACGTATCATAAGAAGGATAAGACAATGCTTGTAGAAAATAAAGAAGATTTGTTTGGAAAAAGATGAATAAAAAATAGTACGTTTTATTTGAGAATAATTAATGAATAAAATTAGAAGTGAAATTTGCTTTTAAATTTATCATTTCAAATGGGGAAAATCAAAAGAGTACGGTAATTACAACTTCAAAAATTCCCCGCCTTTCTGGGAAAATCTTTAAAAATTCACGCTTGATTTTGATTATCATAGTGCTAAAGAAGTATAAGTGATATTTTAAAATATGCATTAATTAAGGAAAAGATAAAGGTAAAAAAAATTAAAAAACGAAAGATAGAGAGGAAAAAAATTACAGAGAGGGATAGGACGTGAACATACGTGACGTGACGTAACGGCATCTAATTTGAATTACTTGAAAATGTTATCAAATTTTTAAGAGAACAGAAATTGGTTTTCTAACAGATAAGAGAGAGAGGGAGAGAGAGAAAGAGTGAATTACTTATTTGATTTGTATTTTGTAGTTTGGCTTTCAATTTCTAAAAGTTAATAGCGTTCATTCCCATAGACTTTTTTATTTGATACGAATACAGCTGCCTTCAACTCTCACGAAATTATCATTCTTCAACAAAATTATAAGTATAAATATCGGTGATCTCACTTTAAAAAAATTTCAACAAAAAGAAATACTTTTTACGGATTAAAAGCCAAAGGAAAATGCATTTATCTTAATTTATGTAATTAATTTATTTGAAAAAAGTTAATAATATAGGATAAAATAAGATAAATAAATAAATTCCTTTTGGCTATTGTATGAAAAATAACTGAAGACATTATTTATATAAGCCAGAAATTCACTAAAAACTGATTAAGGAATTTGAAATGTAAATTACATATTGTGTAAGCTTAATGATAAAGTTAAAATTAATTAGTAACAATTCGGCAAATTATTCGGAAGCTATTTCGTTCTTAAAAAATTGCTTTATTCAATTCGATGAAATTTTACAATTTAATGTGCAAAAAAATGAGCACTACATACAAGAGGCACCCATTTCCGCCGTTTCCTATCATTCATTCATTAACGTTGTAAAAATCAACGGAATCAATTTCGGAAATACGGTTTGCTCTTTTCTTGCTTTCTTCTTTTGCTGATTTTTAATCCGACCGTCCATTTTAGCGTTGTGCAGAAAAACTTTGCATAGCACAAAATCGAATTTTCAACAAATCTTTCATAGTATAAGTAACGAAAGACAATTCTATCGGAATTTTATAAAATTTCGACGGTGTAAGTAAAATATTTTGCTAATCTGCAACGATATTAATTAATATGAAAGTAATCATTTTTTTTATTCAAAACAAAATAATGGAAAAGATGAAAAAAATACATTTTCATCTCTTTCATTAGCTCATTTTGTATTTAAAATATTAAATTTCTGCAGAAAATTTAATTTCAGTTATTAGAAATAATTATTTAATTATTTTTAATTATTAACAGATAAATTCAATCTTTTGAGAAATATCAATCTACTGATCAGTTACTTTAGATGGATCACAATTGATAAAAAGATTATAAAATTAATTGACCATGACAGCTGAATTCGATATACTAAATTTCAATCGAGTTGATTGAGGTTAAAAGAATTGTTAAATGATTAAAACATACTTTGGTTCCGACATATGCCGTAATTGAATAGTAGTAATATCTCGAATATCGGGCTGTCGCAGTCGCTGTTGTTGCTGTTGTTGTTGTTGTTCATTTATACAACTTGTTCGCATCATTTGCAAATTGTGCTCGCTATTGCGCAACGAGCACTCGTTTAGACGTCTAAAATTAGACATCCGTGTTATTATTAGCAAATCTTTTTTTTTAAATTTAATTTTTAATTTTGAATAATTGATAGTAATGGGAAATTTTGTATTAACTTTTGATTCTATTCTATGAATAAATTATTGTCTTTAAATTTTTCACTTTTAATTTATGATAATATTGTTTTTCAAGGAATTTGAAAACTCGATTTTTGATTTTAATAAAATATGAATGACATAATACTCCGTCCCTCTCTCTCTCTCTCTCTCCTTCTCCTTCTCTCTAATATTCTCTTTAATTTGTCTTCCTTCGTTTTGTCCTAATAAGGTTGCTTGCACTATATTTATATTTGCAAGTAAAAAAGATGTATGGTTTTCATCGATTCAAAAAGTAATTGATATTAAAAAAATAAGCTGTCAGAATATTTCCATTTTAATGAATAAGTAGCTTTTCAGTCTTAGATAAGCATCTATCTCTATATTCTAATATTTGATCGATCATTTTCTCGAAAGTTCCATTTCAATAACTCCCCCGCATCGTTGGTAGAAAAGAAATTTTATAAAAGTTAATTTTATGAAATGGAATGCTACTTATTTATTTGATAGCAATTTTGAAATTTTTATTTCATTTCATAAAATAATGAGAATAGAAATAATTTATGAGAGCGAATTCATTCATACGTTATTAAACTAAGAAATCTAAATGAAATAATCTGACTTTAGAGCATATGATAGCTAAACCAAATCATTCCACAATTCTTCAAATTTTAATTCAAACAGAAATGATGAAAGTAAATTGCCTAGAATTTAAAAAATAAATTAATATGAAAGTCTATAAAATTCATAGCCAAAAATATTACTGGTTATTGCTTGTAAATGAATATAAGAGAAATGATATAAAAGAAATGAAGGAACAAAAGGAGGGTATGGTTGGTATTATATAAATACCGCTGATACATCAATGATCTGGCCTATTCATAGTACAATTACTATATTGTTGTAATGGTATTGTCATAATAAATTCACTCAGTCAATTTTTGGCTTCTCTTATTTCTTAGTCAGTTTGCTTATTTGCCTTCTCACTTTTCTTATTCATTATGTAAAAAATGTTAATCGCATGTCAAATTTTGTTTAATGTTTAATAGCGCCGAGATATCAGCCATTGAAGTGTTTCCTGTCCCGAAGAATTTTTCAATTGTAAGTTATCTTCTTGAGTTCTTAAGATTTTCCAAATATTTTATAAATATCAAATGAGCCAGAAGCAATTCTCTTCACAATTCTTCCATTAAGGTAAGCTTAATATCAAGAAATACCTCAGTGACTTCTCAATATTCTAATATATTTCTCTGTCTTGACAACTTCATAACCATTCCACTCTTATCAGAATCAAATTTCGATTATTTCAGAACAATACCAAAATAATTATTTGTAGTTAGATCAAAGCAGATTTCAAGTCAAAGACAAATTAATTCACTTTGCACATCAAATGAGAAAAATCCGTTAACTAAAGGAACCGGATGGATGCCGAATTTCAACAAAAACAGGAATAGTTTGAAGGCAAGTGAAATCTTGAAATGAATTGGATACCAATAGAAATAAATCAAACGCTATTTTAAAGCAAAATGTTTCATTAAGAAAATTATTGAAGTTTCAATGAAAACAATATATTCATAGTACAGAAAAAATAAGGTCAAATGGTCAGCAGATTGACCAATATACAAATCTTTGAATTTTTTCTATTTTCTGCGTTAGATTTAACAAAAATAAAATTAAAGCATGTAATCTTATTATTAGGGATATTTAATAAAATCGTTCAGAAGAAAAATGTTATCAAGCCAACTTCAGCTTATGTTAAGGTTAAGTTAACTGGGCCAGAAATGATAATAATTTTTTTCGAAATATTTCCTGAACTTTGATCTTATCAGTACGAAAAACAATAATATCACACTTTAGTAATGTCAAAAAGAATTTTTTTCTAAGAAATCAAATCCCATTCCTCATAAAATAACTATCATTAACAATAAAATGCTTTTATTCTACAATACTGTTCATTTGCAATAATTTAAACTTTCAAATGCTTAATTTAATGAGCGCTATCAGACAAGTGCGCATTCCGTTACCATTAAATCCCACTGCTCGACAATTCTAAAAAGAAATATATGCATTTCTCTGAAACGATCAAAAACATCAATGCAAATTATTTAAAATTTAATAATTATAAAATATATTGAAATTATTAAATTACATTTTTGAATGGTTGATTTGAACATTTGAAAATTTTCCGATCAGTTCGAAGAAAAAAATGAGAATTTAGTAATGGCATTCCTTTTTTCCAAAACAAAAATAAATAGTAAAAATGATAAATGTGAAATTATGTCAACGAAAATTTGAAAAACAGAAGTGGTCGATGAGATACACTGAAAACGAATCGATAATTATTATTGTTATGAAATAATTCAAATGACTGAAATCGATTAGCAAAAGTTTTGATATATAAACTATAATGTTACTTTTGAAAAATTCATTTCCGATTTTAATTTCAAATTATTATTTCTTTTTTTTTCGATTTTATTACTTTGCAATTTTTGCGAAATAATGGTATTTATTAATAAATCAATGAAATGATTAATTATAAACAAATAGATAAGAGTGGTACTTATTAATAGATAAAAATGATTGTTATTAAAATAGAATTTATATCTGTTTCTATTTATTTCTTTTATTTTAAATTTTAATTTAAATTAACTTCAATAATTAATTTAGGTCAATAATTAATTGGAAATAATAATGAGTGAATGTAATTCTATGAATGAATAAAAGATGTTCGAAATATTTTATGCATCTTTAATTTTTCCTTTTAAATGGAAGTATCTGTGATGGGACGATTTAAACTGAACAAATCAATTTTTTTATCTTATCAAATTCTATAATAGACAAAATGGCTGGCTTTTTATCACTTTTGTTGAATTTATTTCAATTTTCACAAGGAACTGTCATTAAGCCGAAAAAGTTTAATTTTTTATAAATAACATCATATAATTAATGACAGATGACAATGGCTTCCTTAATTAATGACAAAAAAAGCAAAAAAGTTGCATCGATGAGTGAAAGAATAAGAATATATTTCAGAATAATGTAAATAAATATATTTACAATCTAAAAATCATTAAATGTAAATTTTTTAAATTTAAATTTAAAAAAAAAAAGAATCGCTAACCTACGCAATGTATTCCGTTCTTCTTTAACATAACGCAATTGATCGCCATGATTAACAATATCAGAGGCAGAATTTGATAATTTCTCTCTAGATGTTTTCTTTCCGGATCGACCAGTAGTCCAGAAACGAATATTACTAGTGGAGAAGAAGAAATGTTTTTTGGTGGTGTTAGCATGTGATTGCTGTGATAAAGCGCAATTTGGATTGAAAGTTTCGGAATGCGACGATGTTTTTGGTTGTGGTGTGATAGTATTGTATTGGTCTGTTGAATATCGACGATTAGCCATTTTTTTTAATGTATAAATTTCAAGAAGTTTGAAACTTTTTTTTGGCGATCGATTACTATCAAACCAATTGTGAATGTAATAATTTCACTTTCAGTCTCTTTTTCGTTTGATGTTTTCATCGGTATAATTTCCAAGAAAAGTTCTGTAAAGAAAATTAAAAAGTATAACAAATTAGGCAATTATGAAATTAGCAAAACGAAGAAACAAACGATTTCACTAATTGTAAGAATATAAAGAAAACAGAACAAAATAAAATTTAAAAAAATCTATGAGCAAAAATCACTTTTGCTGTAATATCTCCAAAAACTGGTCACAATGATTGGATAATGAATCATCGTATCGAATTCAACAGAAATAATTAATTAATGAATCATGATGATTGCTAATCTACAAATAAAAAAGAGGAGAGAAAAGGAGGAAAAGACATCGGAATGGTCACATCCTGCTGGTCACAATCATAAATACAAATTGACCGGTTATTGATGCGTATCCTTTCGAAAGGAAAGGAAATCGTTAAACTTAGTGCGTCAGTTGGTTATACACTATCAGGTGTTTTGGTCAGTAAATCTTCTTAGGGATATGTCCTCTTCTGTTTTAACAATCAACTTTGTTTACACCTCTATAACAAAAGATGAAGTGCTTAGGTTGTAATTCATCCTTATTCAAAAAAAGAATTACTGGTGAATTAGCGGGAATTAGAACATTTAAAAGTAATAATTAGCATAGTAATGAATATAATATTATACATTTCAAAAACCAAAAAAATTTTAATTTAAGCTTAAAATGATTCATCTGAAACATACAAGAAGAGGATTGAATATGAATTGAATATACGGAAATGTTGAAAATCCAATTTAAGTAAATTATTATCAAAAAATTCACAATGAATTTGAAAAAATAATTTAGTGCTATTGTGTTGAATTATTTCAGGAATGAGTGGCATAAATTCAGGAAAGTTGCTTGCAACCTAAAATGCTGTAACTAATTGATAAGAATAGAAAAGGATGAATGAAAGATGGAATTAAATGAATTCATCTGTCCATTGAAAATCATAAAATAAATTTTTGAAAAGAGCGATAAATTATGGTACAATTATCTCAATTACTATTTGAAAGTTTTTCAAAGAGAAAGAGTTATTTTTTTTTCAACGAAATTATTGATCAATTCTTCAATTATTCATAATTACATATTCGAATAAAATGAAAGGAAAATATCGCAATTTCAACAGAACAATTTAAAAAGAACAAAGAGCAAATAAAGAAGAAATAAACTGAAAACATTTAAAAACTTTCTTATACTTTCTGTGTAATACATATACATATATATTTTCAATTGTTAACTGTTGCGAAATAGCTGTCAATAATGAAATTTGAAGAGAAATATCATTGTATTGCAGCAAACCATTGATATTTTGAAGTTTGAAAAATTTGATTTGTTTGATTTTTTTGAAAGTGAACCATTTTTCTCTTTATTTTGCACTTTTAATATAATGTATAAAGCTTATCGATTTTATGAATTCCAAAATATTTATCTCATAAATAATGGGAAGTGACACCTGTCGCACTCTCATTATATTAAAATGAAATTGGAAAAAGTAAAATTTAGAGGTTTAGAGGGACAAAAAAAATGATGACAACAACTGTGAAACTTTTAATTACTTATAAACTAATGGGAAGTTAAACATTTCTCTCGGATCATCCTTACCTCGATATCTCTCCTCATTTCTCTCGGATCATCCTTACCTCGATATCTCTCCTCATTTCTCTCGAATCATCCTTACCTCGATATCTCTCCCCATTTCTCTCGAATCATCCTTACCTCGATATCTCTCCCCATTTCTCTCGGATCATCCTTACCTCGATATCTCTCCCCATTTCTCTCGAATAATCCTTACCTCGATATCTCTTCCCATTTCTCTCGNGATATCTCTTCCCATTTCTCTCGAATCATCCTTACCTCGATATCTCTCCCCATTTCTCTCGGATCATCCTTACCTCGATATCTCTCCCCATTTCTCTCGAATAATCCTTACCTCGATATCTCTTCCCATTTCTCTCGAATCATCCTTACCTCGATATCTCTCTCCCGTTCGTTGAATAATACCCAATTAAATGTATCTTTAATTGTGCTAAATTCAAATGAAATAATCACTGATACATAAATATATTTTAGTTTTAAGAGAATAAAGAAAGATCGATCGAACAAAAGTCTTTTTAGAATTTCCAGATGATGGCACTGATGCGCTGCTGTCGTACTAATTGTAGATTCGTTTTTTTAGCAATGATTCATAGCAAATTTTTCATAGAACAGATGTAGTTAGGATAGAATGAAAGGGACGATTGATGGACGGAATGTGAGAGGAAGAAAAGAGTTCGCGGGATAGGGAGAGTAGAAGGTGGAAATATCATACATTGATTTTGATTTTGGGTTTTCCTATCTTACAGGATGATTATTTCTCATCTCAGTTCCTCACGCGGATTATTTTTTTAGCCGCTCATTTCATTTTATAATATTTTCATTGCTTTAATAAGAAATAAATGAAAGTGGCCGGAAATTTAACTGGAATAGATTAATCATTTCCAGTCCTACAGTTCCATAAAATATTTCTAATATGGAAAAGAATATGTACTCAGTGATTGCTTATACTTGATAATTACACTAATTAGTTACGACGGTAAAATGCAGCAATGCATTCCGAATGACTGTAATGTAGTGAAAGAATGGTTGAAAATGAAAATGTTGAAATTGGGCAAAGAATTTTTTTAAAGTAATTGTCAATTATTGAGTGAATAAATAGAAATGTTAATCCTTTATGAGATATACAGTTCTCTATCATTTTGTTTCCTTTCTAAACAACAATGTTATCATTATTATGATTATTAATTAACACATTAAATGTATGATAAAGGATAGTGATAAGTGTAAGTGATAAGGTATCATTAATGGTTAAAATTAACAAATTAAAATTTTAATCAAAAAAGAAGAGATTATAATAAAATCTTTACGGAAATATCAACAATATGGTACGAGATGGTTACATATTGAAAAAGATCAAATTTTACTTTAGTCAAAATGGTAATTGATGAGAGAGACTGTAACAATCCTTCAACATCTGCTTTGTGTAAATATGGAGGAGAGCCATTCATTCGTAAAGAAAACGAACGATTTGTTCCGAAAAGATTTTCAAATGGAAAATATATTATTATACAATAAAAGGGATGCTATCATTTTAGCATACAAAAAGGTTTGTACAAAAAGTAAAGCTTATATAATCATTTGCAGCTTATTTACAGAGCTTGCGATCACGGATTTACATAATTCAGGAAGATATAGAAGAGAACAGTGGATGAACATGCATGTTATTTGCAGAGCTTGCGATCACGAATTTACATAATTCAGGAAGATATGAAACAGTGAATTGTATATGAAACAGTGAAACAGTGAATTGAACAATTTATCTTTCGAATTTTTGAATTTGTTAATTCTGATAGAAATTTAAAAACGATTTACTTGCTGATTAATCACAAAAGATTTGTTCTCAACAACAGACATTTGCTTCACTTTTCCTTTTCATCTCATTGCTCACAATGATATAAAGTGACTGTAATATAGCATTAATTCTTTTGTACCCAAATTAAAGTTTAAAGTTTCGAGATTTTTCACCAATTCAATAAATGCTTTCATAATAGATTTAATGAGCAACTATTAAGCAATTCTAATTTCATATTGATATTATTTAGACGAATGAAACATGAAATCCGGCACTACTTACTATTTATCAAATTTCATTAAATTCACATTAGACGGTCAGACACACCGACATGCGTTAAGAAAGAAAATTGCGATCGCAGATATGGCGTATAATTATTTTTTAGCAATATGAAGAAAACCAATTCTCATCTTCTTTCATTCATAGAAGTAGAAGTGAAAAAGTTACGAACATCCGATGCAATCAAGGAGATAGAGATAGAGGTCGAAAGGTTACTAAGATCAGTCAGACAAGGACGCATTAGCACACTAGGAAATTAATATAATAATAAGACTATCGGATTGCGAACTGTCAAGAGAGCATTTAAAGTTATAGTTATTTTTCATTTGCTTACTTTTTGAAATTTTGGTTTCTTTTCGGACAATATCCAATCCAATGATGCTTCGGGAATTACATTTGTTATGATTTCATACAGCATGAAATAATTTCAACAATAAAATAAGCCATGAAATTTTTTAGAAGAACTCAAATCAAATATTTTGGGAGAAATATGGAAGAATTGCAAGTTAAATCAATGAGTGAGAGAGAGAGAGAGAAAGAGAGAGAAAGATGAGATTGGTACAACTGTCAAATTAAAAAATCTAAAGAAAGAAATTAAGAAATAAAATTTACTGATTAAAATGAGGAAAGTGAAATGAGAAGGAGGAGGATGATGAAATGTAATGGAGAATGTTGTACAGACTTGATCGGTGGTGATCGAGATGGCAGCTAATGTTGTTAGCATCACATGAGGATGTATGTCCATCGATTTGTATGATACATCGAGCAAAACGGATTTAACTCTTCCGGCACATCCGTGAACATGTGTTTAATTAAGATGGCATCTTTTGTGTTGCCTGCGATCCGAATTTTATCATAAACATTAAATTGAATGGCCATAAATTTGATTAATTCAATTTCCAATTCTAATTAAAATTTTGTAGAAAAAAATGTTTTCTTAAAAGGAAATAAAAAGGCATAGCAAAAATTTATTTTGGCTAAGAAAAAAGTGAATTAGGCTGTGATTTGTTTTGATTTCATTTTCCTTCATTATTTATTACATTAAATTGAATTATAAATTGTAATTTGATGTTTGACAGAACAATTGTGGTAATTAACATATTATCGTGGAGAATAATGAAAGTAAATGAAATCCATTCTTAATGATCAGATATTATATCACCTGAATTCAATTTTAATTTGAAATATTTTCATGAATGTTAGGAAGTTGACGTTTCCATTATATTTGCTGAAAGAGAAGAGTGGCAGTGATTGAAATGCTAATTAGTTTAGTGGATAATGCGTCTGTGAAAATTTTTGTAATTCTGCTAAAATGACTTCAGCCATATGTCATACAAAAAATAATTTAATGGTTTGAGAAAGTAAGCTGTCAAGTTTATTAAAGTTAAGGAACAACGATGGAGCGATAAAGAAGCCATGCTAACAAAATTTGAACAATATATTTGGCCAATTTTATAACAAACAAATAAATTCTACAATTAAAATTTTTGAAATTCTCATTATTCAATTTTCTTCTCATATTTTCTTCTCATTATTCAATTTTTTGGTTAGCAAAATGGAAACTTTTCTAATTTTCACTGAGATAATGAAAATTATAGAAGAGAATGGTCACCGAGATAATGAAGATTTTAGAAGAGAAATATTACATAGTGCAAATCACTAGTAATTTCTATGATGACAATTATTATCTATTTTTTATATGTTGACAATGGCATCGTTTCTGACTTTTATTCTTTTCTAATCTACTAAAAGGTTATAGGTTATAGGTTATATGTTCACGATTCGATGCATTATGAAGTCAATCATATGTTAGAGATGAGGAAGTATAAATCGTTAGAGAAATCGTAATTTGAAGAAATTAAAAATACTAAAAATTGTGGTTAAAATTGATTGATAGCAGCACGGTTATAATAAAATTAAAATGCTAAATAATGAATTTAAAATTAAATTATTGTTGCGATTGAATCGTTAATCCGCAGGAAATTTAAATTTTACATTTAAATACTATTATATTTTAAAAAATTGAATTTTGATTAAAGCAATGCTGTAATGGAGAAATAGACCCAGAAATCCTATAAATTTGAAAGAGAAAAATAAATATGAGCAGAGCTTAACCTCATTTAAATAACTTGAATTTAGAATAGAGTGAACTGCAGTAGTTATTCAACTTACTTTCTATTGATCGCGATCAGTCGGAAGCAATAAATTTTTAGTTCAAGTGGAACGTATTTATTTGCTGTTGAATAAAATTATAGATTTTTGCAAACAGATTATTCTAATACCTAAATAATAGGAAAGCTGGCAAACTTTGGATTTGTTCTGCTGGATTGTTGTAGGGATAGAACCTAAGAGTAGATTAACTGCATGAAAATAGCACATTAAATCCTTATATATTCAGCCAATCTTTTAATGAAAAAGCGCAGAAATCAATTACCTGAAAAAAGAGTTTAAATGATAGAAAACCTTGAAAAAAAGGTAGAACAAACAAAATTTGTAGTGTAAATGATGACAATTTGAAGAGTAAACAAAATGTTTTCAAAAATAAAATCTTCATTGAAATATGAAAAAATACGCCATTGCAATTGAATGAAATTTCATCGTTAAATTGATCATCGATCGATTAAATCATCGAAACAAAGTGGCCTTTTTTGATATCTTTTCATTTCATTCAATTCCGCCTCATTAATTTTCTCTTTTAAATTTATCTGAACATTTTAAATTGAGCTTTCGAAATGAATTTGAAACCATTTTGCAATAAAATGATATTGCTGTCATGAAGAGAATACTTAATTCACCATCTATCAACGAAAAAAACAGTTGAATTTTGGCGAACTTATTCAGCAATATTTTTTGGAAAAAAGAATGAGTTTTTACCATATCTTCTCAAAGAATACTTTCAAGCTGTGATTCAGCAAAAACTCAAAAGTTATCGGGGAATAAAATAAAATTCCATAGAGCAATTTTAAATTGTGATGAAAAAATCCTCATTGAAATAGAAAAGCTGAAATTTCAAATTCCAAAATTTTAAGTTATAGTTTGAAGCAGAAATATAGTGGTATGTGGATATATGATGATCAGGGAAATTATCCTTTAAATCTTTCTTGTTCATTAAGATTAATCTCTGTGTGTCAATAAGAGCTTTAAATAGCTGTCATCATTAATAACTGAAATATATGTCGAACATTCATAAAAGGACAGTTTTTGGCCTGTTCTATAAGATTTGTTTTTCATTATGCTTTATAGAATATCAAAAATAGTATATCATTGAATAAATTCTATAATGTGGGATTTTCTTACTTAAGGAGATCGACAAAAGAATAAGTCTTTTAATTACTGTAACTCATAAAATCTATTAATTTTGAATTGCCTATAGTAAATCAGATCAATCGAAAATAATTAAAATTGGAATAAATTGTTAAATCGGAAAGAAATATATGAAAATATTTTCTCGAAAATCAACAGTGATAATAATTGTAACAAAAGTTACTGAATGTTATTTTTGCAACAGAACATTTTTTGACATTGACGGAAATAAAAAATCGACGATTAAAAGAAGAAAAGGAAATAAGTTAGTATTAAAAGCGGGTATGTGTATAATGTCGGGACTTGCGCAAAGTGTCGGCATACGACGTTTGTATGGGAATTACACGTAAACAGATGCTCTTGTGGATTAGTAAGGGTTGATGCGTAATGTGTAATTGACGTGATGTCTAAACTCTAAACTGTTTGATAAAGACACCGAAAATTTATCCATACGATGAATTGTATCTTTTCTGCTATGATACGTCAGGGATATTTAACTGTCCCATAACATTTCATAGTTTATTGCATGCAACGGAAATGCGATGAACATCGAGATTAGAAATACCGGTGAACGGGGTGCTGAAGCGGGTGGTTGTAATGATGATTGGGATATGTCAGCGTAAGGATTTATGCTGGAACAAACCTATCTTTTTCATTAGAGGAACGATTTTTGATATATTTGTCACAGTTCTACTTTATATATTTGTAATTGTGCTTTATGTGACAACTACGAAACTGTTTGCTCTTGTCACCCGTGAAATATATTATCATGACTTGCAAAATAGAAAATATTTGTTCTTAAAGACTGAGATTGACTGTGAAGGGTTTAATTTTAAATAAACAAGGAATTCCTGGAAACATTTCTCAAATCTTCTCTAACTTTTGGCAAACTCTATCAAATGTTATGTGATACAATCGAATGTAATAGTTCACGACTAATTTTTTGTGATATTTGCATCATCTCTACATGACATTCTTCCGTTTTTAAATGTCTATTTAAATGCTGTGGCATCTTGGGAAAAGACTAGAAATTTGATCTAAAGAAAAATAATAAGTTCGACATTAGTAAATGTAAAATTTCTTTTTAGAAGGCTCGTCGTCGTGAATTTTTAATGACTCTTATTGTCATTTCTGTAGACTTATTTGAATATTACAGGTTTTGAAATAGGATATGGAGAAAGCAACCAAGTCAGTCAGGCTGAGTCAACCCTCTGTTAGAAAGATGAACAAAGCAGTGTTGAACAGGAAAATTTCCAAAATTGATAAACTGGTTAAGTTGTATAAGGTATGTTGCTATATCATGTACGATTCCTTAAGTTCGTGTTTTGGAATAATTGTCAAATTTCTTGCTTCTTGATCATTTCTAAGTGACTACGAAGTACGTGGAATAGTTCAGCCGTTCAGTTGTTTTTAAAAGTGTATCTTTCTTCAACAGCGATCGATTTCCAAAATTAGTAAGTCAAGTATAAGGGTGTTACTATATTGGATTTCAGAGAAGACCAGGTTTCTGAATCTTTTAAGTGACTGGAATCTCATGTGGTTTTTTAAGGCCAAACGAGTAGGAAATGGTCTAAAACCAATAGAGAGATTAAATACAGTGATTTACTGACGGGCAATGCTTTTTAAAAAAAATCACATATAATAAACCAAGGATGCCTTGTACGTTTTCTTGCTTAGGACCTAATACAAATTTATGTCTTGATCTTTTGCATATATTAATCTTTTATTTTCTCATATTTGGTTTATTATACCTCGAAGTTTTAATAATCTTGTAGCAACTGAGAGAGGCAATAACGAAACTGGAGAATCGGGAAGTATCTTTTGGTCAAGATTACGATGAACAATTTGAAGAGGCCTGCAATATTCGTCTGCTAAAACTTATACAGAGGCGTTTACAAATACATAACTATTTGGTTCGGAAAGGAATTTTTGTTAGCGATACAGGGGAAACCATGTGAGTCTTGTTTTGCTTGTTATATTTTTACGAAAACTCATATCAGTTTTATGGAAACTGCTACAACTATTCGAATAACCAAATGCAAATAATGCCAAACTTTGATTTTTTGTATGATGGAACGATTGCTATTTCTAATTTCTTATAAACTTTTATAGTTTTCTGTTTGTACACATAACTTTTATATTGTTTTGAGATTGTTTTATAGTCTTCCGGATGTGAAACCAAAGCTGGTAATAACTTCGACAGGTGTTGAAGATTTAAATATGCTTTTGACTGAATATGTTAATCAAGAAACTGACTCTGAAATTTTGGACTGTAAAATACGAATACCTTACAAGTGAGCATCAAATCATTATTTGTTTGAAATAATTATTTTTAGAGATAATTTGTTCCGTTGTAATTAATTTGAAATTCTAAGGCATGTCACTGTAAACGATGTGAAGATGCTGGTAAACAAATTAAAGGAAACAAATAATACACAGCTTTTTCGAGATGATCCTTTGGGATTTGGTAAGTATTTAGAATTATCACAATTGAAAGCACTCACGAGTTTGTTAACTTGTAATTTTGGAATTATGGTTTCTTTGCAATCATTCATTTTCAGATCAGTTGGTTCAAAATATTGCATGTGAAGTAAATAAAATGGTGAAGCGATTCATTGAAGACAATCATCGAATGGGTCTTGATGACTGGGCTGTTCTAGGTATAATTAATATTTTGATTCAGCTTTACAGGTTAATTACCTTATCCAAGCGTATCAGTGTACACTTCTACCATGTTAACTACATTGCATTAAGATTGCATTGGAATAGTTCTATATCCGTATCTTGTTTATTCTTTATTGGGTTTCTTTGCTACCGTCTTTTTCAGATCATGCAAATGAAAGCGGAAATTTTCCATCTACGTCAACTGATGTAGGTGCTACGGAAGACGGAGAACATCCGCCTAGTGTACCAACCTGGGATATTGCTAATATGGTAATATTTTGAAAAGAAGATAATAAATGTAAAAGTTGGTGGTAAATGCGAGTGTTATCTAGTGGTATGGAAAATATTTGTGATTAAATGATGCGTCCACCTTTTCAGTCAGTAAGCAAAAATGCTAGTCTTCATATCACACTTCATTTACGTTGTAATATTAGAAGTTTTTTCTTTATTTACAGTTATGAGTATTCTATAAGGAAGTTACGACTTAGAAATGAAAGAGGTATAAGTCGAATAAGTATTTTTTATGCAGACAATTCCACTTGTTGTGTGGAACGTGTTCAAATAAGACTTTTGCTTTATAGGAATTGCATGAGGCTTGCGGTCGAGGTGAATTGGACTATCCGGAACCAGAAAACAGTGGTGATGTAGATGATACCGAAATGTCACCGACTGCTGATGAAGAGGAAGAAGATGAAGAGGAATACGAGAGTGATACTCAATACAGTGTATTGCTTTGCCTACAGAGGAATTAATTGATACATCATATTCAGAAAATCTTGATGTTTATATATAGTTTAAATGCGATTTATTGCCGATCTTACTTCCAACAAAGGTGGAAATGAGATTGGCAATAAATTTCATTTAGACTGGTGGGTTTTAAAGTTTGGTGATATATACAGCAATATGTGACCTGATCCAGACGAGGCATTACAATGTCTTGTTTTTGTAACTATGACGAGAAAAGAATGGCGACAATGATTCATCATTCTTTGTAACTTGGTTCATGTCTTTTTGCATTCAGTTTTTTTCAAAATTCCTGATCTTTTGATTCTGCTGTCAAATATTCGTTTTTCTTTAGGCTAATGGAGATATGATGAATAAGAATAGCGAGTCTGATGACAGTTGCTGCATTGTCGAGGAGCAACTACATGAACAGTGCGAGAGAAGCGACGACAGCGATTGTTGCATAATCGAAAATAACGAAAAAACGACCTTAGAAGGAATTATTAATGAAAATATCGAAAACATAGGAGCACAATCAGAAAGTCCTTCAGAAAATGGAAAAAAGGATATGGAATTGGATGAAAAAATAGTTAATGATGATGACGATTGCTGTATCATCGAGGACTGACGGATTCAAACTTCACCATTTATTTCGTTATCTGATATCGTGTTGTTAAAGTAGTATTTAGTAAGTTTTCAAAAATCAGATTTTTAGCAATCCTGTCATTAAAAGTTTCAATTTTTCTTTTGAAAATTTGTTTTGCAGATATCCTGATCTGCTTTTGAGCAAAATCCTGTAATGATCAAGTATTTTGGCAGTCACAGTTCCGAACTATTGAATTGCCAACATCCAGTTTATGCGAAATTTTGTACTATTTTTGTAATTTAACCGTATTTTGTACCATTTTTTGTAATTTTTGATGTTATTGTGGTCTCCTAAATTACTCTGAACCCATGATTTTCCGGTGTTTACCAATAACATCTAAGCAAAACTTTCCTAATCATATTGCTCGCATATGATACATTATACTCTGTGAAAAGAATTTTTAATGAGATCACTGATTGTTGCGCGTTCTCCATTTGTTATATAAGACCTCATTGAATTATTGGTTTTTTCTTGCTTGAAGACTTATTTATGAGTTGACTTAAAATTTTTTAGATCTAAACGTCAACCAACAACAAAGGGAATATTTTTGGTGCCATTTGTGAATTCATCAAACAAATTGTTGGAGAGAAGCGATTCTCCTTTTTTTAATAAATTTTTTTATTGGACGAGTAAACACTGACATATCAATGATTAAAATACATTACAATTTGAAGGAGGAAATGTAAAGAGAGGATGACGATGGATGGTACAGTGTGAAGGGAAAAAAGAGACGATTGTTCAACGATCCATTTAGTACTTCTCTGTAACTCCCTCTTGTAGCACTTTTTTCTGTTTTGAAAGAGAGTGAAATGCTCCAAATCTATCCCTGAAGTTATAAATGATTTAATCAATTTCAATTTTCAATTTTGTTCCATTAGATATTCGTGGAATTATAATACATAATGCTTAAGAAGTTTTGTTTTTCTCTTTGTCTCAGAGATCGATTGAATATCTTGAGGAGCATTATATAGAAGTAAATAAGTTGAAAGTGAAAAAAGCAATAGAAAGAGAATGAATAAAGTGGAGATGGAGTTTAAAGTAATTTGAGTTAAGAAATTCATCGATTAGGCTTATGTGATTTATCAATTAATTTGACACTCAAAATTTCATCTTTCTGAAAAATTAAATTTTTTGAAACAAATAGTAAAGTGGTACCAAAAAAGAAATGAATTACTTCTAGAACATTTTATATAATGAATTGGTCCCAACAAAAATAGTTATTTAAATAATGAATAAGCTATAAAAATATGATGTTTCTTTGTCTCTTCTACCAATTCAGTGCCATCATTCCTTTACAATACTTTCAAAACAAAATCACAAATGCCTAACTTCAGCCAGCTAATTAGTATCATTGAATTTCAATTAGTTTAGCATCTGTTTCGAATGGCAAGTTAATTTTGCCTAAACTTTGAAATAATTTTTTCATCTGAAATATATTATCTTTTTTCTGAAGAAATTTTAACCAATATAAGAAGTTTTGCGTTACATATGCCGTAAATAGTGTGATCTTTTGAATATCGTTGAATAATATGGAATGCTATGAATTTATATTTTAAGAGTACCATTAACGATCTCAAATCTCTTAATGATCAATTTCTGTTCCATATGTTTCGAAAAAGCAGCGATATATCTTTTTTTGTTGCATTCACTTCTCAAATGAATAATAATATAATTTGGGAGAATAGAAAATGAATTTCCTACAAATTAACCAAAATCGTTAAATTAAAATGAAATGAAATGCTTACGAATTTTAATTAATTTAAATTACTGTTCATTAATTAAGAGAAAATTTTATGAAATAAATTAACATTATTGAATGAATTTCATTTAAGTTTAAGCTTTTTAAGCTTGAAATGCTAAAGATTGCAGATGTTATAGGATTAGCAAAACTATAATGTACATTAATTACCAAATGTGGAAACATAAGATAGAGCAGCTGTTTCCTGTAATTTATTGCAAATGTAAGGTTAGTTAGTTCTTTCTCTCGCTCTTTTCTTGGGGTCACTTCTATCTATATTTTATCAAATTGTTAATCCGAATTGAATTGATTTATCAGAAAAACTCCATTTCAATCTTGTCTTTTTCATATATTTTTAGGCAAACATTCATAACTTATTGAATTATTCTAATTTTTTTTAATTTCAAATGTGTCATCAAATCAATTGTACCACCAAATCAATTATATCATCAAATCAATTATATCACCAAATCAACTATATCACCAAATCAATTATATCATCATATCCATTCATAATTATTTCAATTTATACTTTCAGAAGTTTTCTTTTGATAGATATATTGCATAATGAAGCAAAATCTTTCAGATATTATTTCATCTCAAAACACTTTTGAAGTAATTACATTTTGAAATTACAAATTTACCACTTTTAAAAATTCTAATTTAAAAAATTATAGTAGAATTTATGAAGAATTGATGAAAATACAACCATTAGATTGAAGGACTCATTTTTTTCACTAATAATATCAATTTCTTTAATTACAAAAGAAGAGATTGATGGATAGTGAAAATGAATGTGACGTTATCGTATTTAATCTTGATTATTTCATTCATTTAGCCAATAATATCAGAAGTTCACAGCTATCTATCAGTTATCTTCTTCTATTCAAATAAATTAAATTTATCACTTTACAATGCTTTCTTGGGATATTTATATTTATCAATATATTGCTTATTTAATGTTTACCATGCCTTTTTTCATCCCAGTTGGATTATACGGATATTGAAGCATTAGAAATGAAGAAAAGAAGTTTGTTTATGGATTAAACTTTCACGGACAAGTACTTCTCTGCTTATATGATCCATGATTGAATACTTCTTCATGATCTTCAATGATCCAGAAATTGCAACCTTTGCTGATATAGGAAGACAATGAAGTGAACAATTGCATTAAATTATTCATTCAAACTCTCTCTCTCTCTCTTTTGTTTTGTGAATGTTTTATTCAATTAAAACACATTTAAATATCATTAACACTAGACGGCATGATCAAAGGAAAAATTGTTGAAGATGAAATGAAATGGTTAGGGCGGGGAGGGTATCTCCCATTGACATTATGTGAAAGTGTTGCTCGATGACAGAAAAATAGTATAATTTTTGAAGAAGTTTGGGTAAAAAATGATAGAGAATTGTTGTGTTTCCTTGTGTGACCATATCGCCTAAAGAATTCTCTCATGATAAGCAACAATTTGAGTTTAAGTTGGCACCTGCCTGATATATATTTGCCCCGTAGTAGGAATGAAGGAGTGAAGATGTAGAAAGGATGATAGACAAAGCAAGATAAAATAGAAAGAGACGATAATTAATCATTAAGATGGGAAATTGAACTCCACTTTAACTCCTATGAATCCTTGAAAAATGCTATCCCAATTGGTCAGTTTAATTAACTTTCACCAAATGAGGCTACCAATGTGTTTACAATGGACAAATATCATTGTACATCATTGTGGTAGTTTGATTTTTTGATTAAATTCAAAAAAAGAAAAATAGGATAAATAATTTGATATGCCATATATATGTTGGATATATGTCACTTACAAAAAAATTTTGCATATGACTAGACCTTTACTCTTTGACCTTTCTAACCTTTTCAACATATCTTTCACATTTTCCTCCTGTTGAATTTGTTAATTTAATTCATATATTATCAGAATAAATTTGAGTAAATCAAAAGATGCGAAATGTTTATTTGCAAAAATCGAATTAACAAACTATTGTGTGTAACAGGAGGAAGCAAAACAACTTTCATTGAAGAAAGCGCATGTTGGCTGTGCGGTAATTTCCACATAGTATATGTTTCTCATCTACCATCATTGACCTTCAAATTTATATCATATACTTGTATTTTCGTGCAATTCTTTTCCTTATTCCATTAGGATATTAATTAATGCTTTTATAATCGTTGTTGTCACTTATTCATTTTGCTTATTATCGCTTTTGTCGAAATTCTGAGGCTAATCTTTCGAAAAAATTCTAACTGCGTAGAATAATGAATAATTGAATATAAGAAAGTTAGATATACTTTCGTCATGGAAGTAATTGAAGAAATAATGAATTTGTTTATAATTTATGAATATGTCGATTTGATGAATTAATTTTGATAGCAATGTTAGGATAATTATGATATAAAGGTTAAATGGAAAATTGAAAAATGCATATTTGTAGAAAAGATGGAAAATTTTATTTGGTAATTTTATTTGGATGAAAGAGCAAAATTCTTATTTATACTGCTGCAACAATAAATTACAAAAATTATCTTCTATACTAGAAATCTAAAATTTTTATTACAGATAATCTAGTCTTAAATGAAACAGGAAAATCTTGATTCATGATTTTAGGTTTCCCGAAAAGAAGTCTCATCACATTTTTTCTCTTTTTTAGGCTCGATTATCTCGAAATATATTATTGTCATATAGATGATAATGATTTTTTAACTTTGTTGAAAAAGGAGATTAAGTTTGAAGATTTAAAACCGACAAACTAAATTCAAAAGAGTTAATCAGAAATAAGTTTGATTTGTAGCTTTTCGATCAAACCTTTCACATTCTTTTGATTTTCTCATTTTACCCAATATTTTATGGTTCCCAAGTATTTGGCCATAACTCTAAACAACTTTATTGAATGTTTTGAAGTGTGATAAAATGCCTCAATTACAATTCGCCCTAAGAAAAATTATATGATTTTTTTAAGGCTTTGATATTCTTCTTATTTTCTGAAATGCTGAAATTTTATTTCAGCTTTAACATTTGACACAACTTCTTAAAAATTCAAAACTCTACAAACAAATTTATCAGATGATAGAGATAAGAAGTTCGGCAGTTGAGAATCTTTTGTGAACAAAAGATCTTTAATTATCAAAATGATAAAAGAAAGACAATTTCCTCGTTTTCTTTAATTACTTGATTTTTTCTGCTTTAAAAATAGAAAAAATATATATATATATATACTGGTGATGAATCAGGAAATTTTAGAGGTTCGATCGGAAAAGATTGTGAAGGGTTGTTGTACGGTGAATGGATATTGGATTGTTTAAAGAAGCAATAAGAATGGTTGGTCGGTCCCTTGCGCTCGGAAATTATAATTTATAGGAGTTAAGATCGCGAGTAGCGAAAAAGATTTATGCCATTTATACGTTTAATGTCCCTTAGCTAAGCATGAAGAATTATCCGGAATGGAAGTGCCGCCAAATGAACACAACAATTTTCCTTCATCAATTTTTTTAGATTATTCTTTGAATTTGGTCATAGCAAACATATTTCATTTAATTCCTATCTTAGATGATGATCATAGAATAAGTGTGCTGCCGGATAAGATCATTATCCGGCAGTATATTCAATCTATGGTCATAAATTCAACAAAAATGACAATATATTTTCATTCTTGCAAAAAAATTTCAAAATTTTCTGTGGTATGAGAAATTAATTCAGGAATTTTTGAATTCAGGAATTTTGAAATTGAATTCAGGAATTTTTACTGAAAAGTTAAATCGGTGAAGAATGAAGAAATATTCTATAAAATAATCATTTTTTAACGAAACTAAAATAAACAGAGTGGAAAATTTGAATATATTAGAAATGATAAAGTCAATGGAAGAAATTTTCAAAAATAACGAATCTTTTTTTCTTTCGAATTATAAATTATGCAAAAACATAAGATATGGAAAGATATAAAAGCTTTTGATAACTAATATATAAAAGGTTTTCATTTTTCTTGCGACTATTGAAATGAATTCATAAGCATCTTCTGAGGTCAATCCATAATCATTACTGTATCTGTTTGCTGAGGTCGTATTTCAGTTCAAATCGCTAATAAACGATCTTTTTCACTTCTATCAATTGAACCGTGAAAATATACAATTAAATTTTCAATGTTGGCCTGTTGATAACATTCACGGAATTGTCATTTCCATTAGTTTAATAATAAATCGCTTAATTCAATTTATGCTAAAAAATGTCGTTGATAATTTCTAGACCGAAAGGCCTAAAAAAAATTTAATGTTGTTTTAAATTTTAGATATCATTATAATATTATATCATGATTCACATATTTTGCATCATTTCATCATTTTTAATATCATCATTTTGCGCTATTTCAAATTTTCATATAAAAAGCACTTAATCCGACAGTATATTCAAACAAAGACAGTAATGAAATATGAAAGAAATATGATTACTGTATCTGTTTGCAAGAATTTCTCTTCTCAGTTTTGCATAAAAAGGTGAAAAATTGAAGTATGGTAGAAAGCAGCGAAAGAGTAGTAATTTTATTTCAAGAAGCCGAATAATTAATGACATAAAGTTGATTGATCCGAGAAGTATCACAATGTTTCCCATCCCTTCTTTTCCTTTAATAAAACCCGAAAAAAGAAAATCTTTTCCCTTAAATTTTTGGATGTCTTCAAAAAAAGAAAAACGCTGATCGCTTTCTTTCATATATTTAATAGTTGTTTATAAACAAATATATAAGTAATTGTTATATTTTAGCTAAATGCGATATAATATTACCACACTATCTTTACATTTCCGCTTTTTATCATTTCCTTCTTTAGACATTTTATCATTTATTTCCTTACTTAAAATCTTTCAATTTTATCAATGTGTTGAAATGACTGGCAGATCTTTTCATTTATTTCATACATAAATTCATTTTATTAATAAATGTAAAAATTGTGGCTGACAATAATATTAATAGAAAGTGAAGAAGAAATCATAAAGAGAGAGAGAGAGAGAGATAAGTTATGAAAATGAATTCGCAGGTAAAATTTCACCTTTTTTTAAAAATATCAACGATTGTTTATGAGTGATAGGAATGAAAGGTTTTTTTATAATTAAATCGATTTCATACCTTTCTTTTCATTAACAACAAGGAAATTTCTTTTGTGAATAGTTGCATGAAAGGAATTGAAAAAGCAAAATGAAGTAAGGAAAAGAATATATTGGAAAGAATTGATAAATGTTATAACATTTAACTTTGCTGATTAACTGAACTCAATTAGATTCTATTGATTTATTTCCAACAATTCAAATCGTTTCATTCATTTAGAATAGAATAGATGAAAATTCGAAATGAAATGAAATTCATCCATAAATTAAACGAAAGCTTTCTGAGTGAGAAATATATACGAAAGATAAGCAATAAAAAAACAACATGGTTATTTATTTATTTCTTTTTTCAAGTTTAACTCTTTTAAAAGTCTTTTGTTAAAAAATACTTCTTCTTCTTTGTTATGTTGTGATTTCGTAAATAATCATTATTATTATCATCCTTATCATCATTATCATTATTTCTTACTTATAGATGTTTTTCTTTTTCTTGATAAATAAAAATTATAAGAAAGCATAGTAATAAGATAAAGTAATTAAACACTCATATCATAAGAAAGGAATGAGTTTGTAATAAGAAGAATCGTTCTATATTTGGGATTTCAATTCTTCTCACAAACATACAATCATATTGAAATGAATAAAAGAAAGGCTTCCAATACAACAACAACAACAACAACAACAACAAAGAAAAATAAATAAAAATAAAAAAAAGAAAGGGGTGCGATAAAACTATTAGTGAAAAGGATTGCCGCCGATCTCTCCTCTCTTTTCAACTGATAATTTTATACAGCAACAGTGGATCATTATCAGAAGGAGAAGAAAAGGGAGGAGTGAGATGATGAAATGAATGAATGAATGAATGAATGATTGAATGAATGAATGAATGAATGAATGGTTGAATGAATGAATGAATTCCTGTTGAAAATGCAATTGCAAAATTAATTTTCACTAAATTTATAACAAATTTTAATAATTATATGCCAATTCCTTATATTTCCCACTTTTTCTATTATGTACATTTTTTTTTACATAACAATGGCGGAATTTGTTGATATTATGATTGTTACCTTTTCCTTCTAATTTTTGCGCCATTATCAGATTTGATCGTTTTTTGAATTCTTTAATATTTTATGAATGTTTTAATTTTTCAATCTCCATGAGAATCTACGATGTTTTCGTCTCTCAATTATCTGCACTATTTTGAAGATATCGGATCCGGTTCATCTGATCATGTAATCAGTGAGGAAAAAAACGGTTTTTTCTGTTAGCAGGTTTTTTTCTATGGTAGGTTGCATTATCATATCAGCGAAGTAAAAAGTGTAATTGCTAAGAATCGTAGATATGAATTTGTATTCTTCGACCGGAATTGTAATTAATTGCAATCTACTCAATGATCAGTTGCTTTACAATAATATTTAACAATTGTTTAACGAGTATCGTAAATTCCACAAAACAATTCATGTGAATTTTGGATAGCGTAAAAGTGCAACGACCACTGTCTTTATAATAGGATAAGAAAGTGATTATCAGTGATAATCGCTTTCAATTAATGAATGCTATAAATTTTGATAAAAGATGATTCATTCTTTCTATTCTTATAATTCTCTTAATTGCTTAATCTATTCAATGTAATGATAATTTCGGCAGCACATTGATAACATATCAGAATGAATGAATCTAAGGGTCAAAGAATTGGAGGAGAGAGAGAGAGAGATTAATCCAAGAAGTTAAATGACAATAAACGGCGAATACTGTCTGTTGCTCAGTCTGGGTAATAAATTTTGCTTTTGGATATAAAATATTGGCCATATAAGTGGCAATATTTGCAAGCAATGGTAAACACATACACACATACACACACATACATACATATACATATACGTGAAGAGACATACACACACATACACGCACAGACAAGCGGAAGGTTTTAGGGGTGGAGTGGAAGGGTTGCTTACGCTGCCGGTGATGGTGTTGATGGCGATGATTGGGAGCCGAGTGTTGAGCACTGTCGCAACGTTTCTGCGAGATTTAGCGGCTTCTCGTACTCGCTCGCTTCAATTTATAATCCCTTAGCTTAAATGAATTAGTTCCTGGAATATTACAGTATGCTACTTTTATTTATGTATTTATCCTTTTCAGTTTAATCTGATACAAGTGAAATGATATGAGAAATTACGTGACAGCCTCATAGATGTTCCATTCTGTCCTAAATAGGAGCGAGATATTGAATTTATATAAATTGACTCTGATTATTTACTAAGTCTAGTTCAGATAGCATTTATAAAAATTTTGATAATTGTAGGAAGATTTGAATAGTAATAATGGATTGTATTGGAACTGATTAAATTGAATAATTAATTTCTTCTCATTTTTCATTGTTTCTTTATATCGTTGTATACAGTAGTAACCTTTCCATTTTTCAACTCTTCCTTCACCTTTTTCTACATCTACATTAGGCAAATTTTTCAACAATTTTTTTTTGAGGAAAGTTTAGGAATGTTAATTGCTCTCTCCCTCTCTTTCTCTCTTTCCACCTTTCTCCTTCTGTCTCTTCTTCTCTCTCTCCTTTTCTTTTCTCCTCTTGTATTTTATTGCTTGCAACGATTCATTTCTTTATTTTCATTCACATTTCAAATTCATAAAATAACCAGCCATAAATTGAATTAATCACTCTGAATGAGTTCATTTGTACAGATTGATTGGATCAAAGAGTATTACTTATCATAAATGAAAATATGCTAAATCGATCGCTGAGATTGCTTGCTTAATTATTTTGATCATCTTTTGTTTTAATATAATGAATATAATGATTATTTCAATATAATATTTAATGATTATTCCGTCGAAAAGGGAAAAAAGGAAGACTTTTTTCTGCCGGAAGAAGAAATTCCCGCAAATTTCCTCACACATCATTGAATATCTATGTTACTTCATTGTTCATCGAATATTTGTTATCGTGGTGAAATTCGAAATAATTTACATATTTGAAGCAATATTTTTCCTTTTCAGATTTTGGATTGCTATATTTCGGAAAGTTATTTTGATATCCGGTGAAGAAATTGCCTCATTGAACGGTCAGTCGATGTTACTACGAAATAAGCCAAATCAATTATCCTCTCATTATTATTTCATATTTCCCTCATTATTATTATTATTGCTTTTCCTATGCATTAAACAAGTGACAGCGTCAATTTTTGAGCAGGTTTATTTTGAAATTTAATAAATTTATATTAGTTTATAAGAGGAATAGATGGAAAAATTATTCACTCCCTCATTTTAAAATCTTTTCTAATTTCAAGAATGTGTTATAGAACTTTTTAATCATAATTCAAATAGCACTTTGTTAAAACAAGTGTTTAATTAATCTTCAATTTTACGATTGTCTTTAAATTTCATTTAATTTGATATTTCAGGCTAGTCGAAGCCGTTGTGAGCCTATCGAAATTCCATTATGTAAAGATATCCCATACAAATATACATATTTTCCGAACTCTCTGCTACAGCCTGATCAACAAAGCGTTAGCTTTTCTCAAAAATTTTGACAATTATTTTTCCAAATTTAGCTATTATTAATAAAAAGTATCAGAAGATCGATACTCTATTTAAAATAGACATTTCAAATGTTTATATTTTCTTTATTATTTCATTTTACTAAACAAATGCTAACAAAATAAATGATCCCAAAAGCATTAATAATTCAACCAAATGAAATTTATTTCAATCATTTCTGAATATTTTCGGAATTTTCAACGAACGTTAAAATGAAGTTCGGAAAAAAAATAATGTAATGATAATGATGATATAGATCACTTTTACAGCTATTTCTTCCTGACGATAGGTTAATTATAAGTTTTAGCTACAAACTCAAACGGAACACTTCAAACCGTTAATCAAAACGAATTGCAATCCGCATATTAAATTTTTTATATGCAGCGTATTTGCACCAATGTGTCCGGAGCACATGCCACAAGCAGTAACCAGCTGCCGGTCCGTTTGCGAAGAGGTATTAATTAGTCAATTTTCATAAATAAAGTTATTAATAATTTGAATCTAACAGTTAATTATAAGTCTCTGCCACTATCTTACAATTTTAATTTTATTTCATAAATTAAATAGTGAAATATCATAAAAAATTGGAATAAGTCAATTGTCTTAATTAGTAAATATCGGGATTAAATATTTCTTCATCAAAGGCCTATCAAATTATCTCAAAAATTTCTAAGAGAAATTTCTTTTCTAAATCTTTTTTATCGCTTTCTCCTTTTCTTTTCTCTATACTTTCTTTTATTAAATTTCTTCAATCGATGGATAGGTGAAATGAAATATTTTTCAAAATGTTCAGGAGATGTGATCCGTTAATATTGCTTGTATCATTTGTTATCATTGACATTAAACATTACATTCCTTTTTTTTATTTAATATGAAATTAACAACGAAAATCTTTCTTTATAAAACTGATATATTATGCAGAAAAAAGTAACCATAAACTTCCACTAATTTATTTTACTAATTAATATGATATTTGTGTATATTCTCTTATATAGATTGATTTTACCGATAATAATATAATATCCGTTGTTTCCTTCTATATTTGTAATGAAGGATTTTGAATTTCTTTTCAATCATAAACTGATTATTACATGGAAATAAATTTTATCACACTTTTAAAACATTCATTTAAATCATTTATGAAATAATTAAAATAATTCTCTAAAAGGAAAAAGGATATACTAAAAATAATTTGTGCTATTTTGGCTTGTATACATACGATCAACTGATCAACTTCTTCTTCCATTTTTGTCATTTTCAGTTTCATTTCAAATTGTATTTTTGCAGTTTGAAATAGTCTTTCTTCGCTAATAAATTTTGAGTTAATGGCATTGGAAGAAGTAGTAGTAGCAGCAGCAACAACAACAACAGCAGTAGCAGCAGAACATCGTCGTATCTTCCATTTTTTTCTCTTTCCTTGTTGTCATCATCGGATCACATCAAAGTGCCTCAAACTATTTTATTTATTTCACCTAACTTCTTCCCTTTGGTTTTCTCTTCCTTTTCTTATGATAATTTTTTCTTCCTTCCTTTTTTTTGAATCCCAGAAAGACAAATCACAATGTTCGTTTTGTTGTAAGGAAAAGAGAGAGAGAGAGAGAGAGAAAGAGCATCGAAAAGTTAAAAAAATTTTTAAATATTTATGAATAAATTTAAAGTTAATATTTTTCAACTGTCATAAATTAGTAAGAATAAAATGTAACAAATTAAATTTAAATAAATTTTTATTAAATATTCAAATGGGATTTATTGCTCGAATTAATTACTGTCTATAATTGAAATGAATAGAATTTATTATAACTTATTTCTTTTATATATTAGTAATCGAAAATTTTTGCATTTTTATTAGTAGAAAAAAAATGGCCCAGTATTTATGGCTAAGATTTAAACCAATTTTATTCTTACTATGAGGCAATATAAAGTGATGCATATCGGCCTTAATCTTTCATTACTAATTCACCTAGGCCATATATGGAAATCAATTCTTTCCCTCAAACTTTCAAATAAATAATATTTTCAATTTGAAAAATTGTAAGCATTAAAAAACATACAATTACACTCTGAGACATATAATTCAGATTTATTATAAAATTTGAAATAGAAAATTGACTTGAGCCTAACTTTTGCTAAATTATCATTTTTAATATAACAGTTTACGTAGTAATTACATATACTGTTAACATCGATCGTATTAATTACATATACTGTTAACATAGATCGCATTAATATTATGCTGTTAACACCGATCGCATTAATGATTATACTGTTAACACTGATCGCATGAATGATTATACTATTAACACCGGTCGCATTAATGATTATACATACTATTAACATCGATCGTATTAATAATCCAATGTTTTTCTTAAAAAAAGCAATAACATAATATTTATAAGTAAAAGAGCAATTACATAATAGAAAATTGATTGAGATATCTGTATCGATCGTCAATTTGAATAAAATAGATTTTTAGTTCCAATAGTAATAATATATATAGGACGACGACGAAGTGGAAACGGTGACAATATCATCGCGCCAAAATCAATAGGGACGATCTTATTGCCCATTTTACAACCTTCTGTAAACCATTACTCGGGCAAAAACCCATCATCTTTCCGATGTTGAAATGTTTTCAATCGTCATTGCATAGATGCGATCGATATGGAATGATAATAGGTGCAATGAAGAGTTTAAATTTTTGATTTAGTAAATCGGAGTATTATGAGAATTATGAAGAAAAATAGTTGGTTGACACAACTGATCTTATCCATTTTAGAAGGAAACCGGAATAAAGATCGCAAATAGAAAACTATTCCTATAAAGTAAGCAATAATTATCCTATAATTCAGTCATTTAACATTTTCATTATTAAATTTTAAAAAAAAAAACTAAAATTTTTTGACAAATTGAAAATTTTATTAGTCAAAAATTTTACAAATTCTTTGATTTGTAAAAAATTTTGGTATAATTTTTGTAATCCGGAATATTTTAACTATTGCATCTGTCATTAATCCTGATTCTTCTTCATTAATTTATCCAATCAAACGATTACTTTTTACAGAAACTTTATTGTTGTAGGTCATTTTTTAATCAAAAATCTTTTAAATTTATTTTTTGAAAATTAATCCATCTAACCGGACAGTAATGAAAATAACAGATGGGAAAGGATAAATAAACAGGTGGTTGAAATGGAGGGAAGAAAGGTTGAAGAGACTTAGAAAGGTCACTATTGGTCCTATCATGTCTGCCATCTATTCATTTTTGACTCATAACCGTTACTGTCACTATTTTGATTCAATAAATATTTGAAATTGTTTCGAAGGCTTCTCAAATCTTTCGTCTCTTAAGTTCGAATTTTACTAATTTCTATATTATATTATATGTGCAGTGAATGTTATTTAAATAAGGAAGTTAAAGAGAAGGCAGAAGATTTCATTTTTAATTGTGATCAAAGGATGAATTGAATCTAATAGGCTGTGGAACCATCGTTTTCCTCCTTCATATTGTAGGTTGAATATCACCGTCCTGTTAATTTTACCTGATGCTTAGGAGAATTTGAATACAAAAATGTACTAGCATTCTTGTAGAACAACCATACGTCATCATTTTTAGGTTTTTATTTTTACATTAAATTTGTCGATTCCAATTTTCAGATTTTATTAATTTTCTTTTGCTATTAGGTTAAACGAGATTGCGTTTCAATTTTACTGGAATTTGGAATTGACTGGCCAGAACCACTGAATTGTAGCCGATTTCCGGAGGCACCCAATCTGTGCATGAAACCAACCAACGATCAAAATAGTTATCTGGGGCCAGAGTAAGTTCACTCTAATTCGGAATATTTCAATTTTTGTATTTTAACATTATTTAGAAAAGATCGTTTAGCTTGTTCAAAATTTCTTTCTCATTAGTTATTCTTTATCAGTTAAATATTTAAAATTTTCCTTTTTCACTTTTTAAATAACTTTCATAGAATTTATGCAGGTCCTCGAGATTAGCTTTAAACTTCGAGATCTGGAATTTTGACTTGAACTTTTTTAATCTGAGCCAAAGGATAAATAAAACTTTTATTATTGTCATTTTCTCTTTTTAACTCATTGATTTCTAATTTTTAATCTCCTGCCAGCTTTATTATTATGTATTCATAATAATTTAAGAATTCTCTTTCTCTAAAATCAAAAAATCCTCATCAGTTGATTTCGAAAATTTTCAAATGCATGTTAATTTATTGTGTTTATTTTATATGCTACGTTTGATCGGTTTCCATTAATGTCTTCTTTATCATTCGCTTATCGTATCAAATAATGTACCTTCAAGGCAATCATTATCACACCAATTTCCAGTAGAGTTCATAACCGTTTTAAGCTCATTTTTACTTCCAATCTAAATTAGTTTATCTATCTACTCCATGTCGATAATATCCACCTGCATAAATAAATATAATTTCTGAATGTTCTGATCTGAAATAAATTCATGTTCTTGTTGAAAAAAAAGAAACGACATTAAATAGTTTTCAATTTGTAGACAATTTGATACGGAACATCGAGAGCCAGTGACAAGTTTAGAAGGACGAATATTTACAAAAACGATGACATCATGTCCACATGATCTAGTTAATCTTGACCCCACTGATCGTCGTGGTTTATGTGTTTTTCAATGTAATCGTGATGGAATGTTCGATGTTTCCAAAAAGGAATTTGCTCGATTTTGGATGCTTTTATGGGCTTCCATTAATCTTGGTGTTACCGCATTTACCGTTCTTACATTTATCATTGATCGACAACGTTTCCGTTTTCCTGAAAGGTTAGTTACTAAGAACAGTTCTTTTTTTTTTCAAAATTTATTTTTCATTTAAATATGGCAGTGAAATTCTCTTTCATTATATACTTTTAAAACTCGAGCAATTTTGTTGTTGGATGATTTTAATTTGTGGTGTTGAATATTGAAGAAAGAAAAGCAATGCTATCGGATAAATGCATGGTATCATAGAGCGAATTTATCCTATCATTTTCCTCTTTTTTTTTGTTTCCACTACCATTAGTTCCATTTTCAAGCACATCAGCTTTGTCAATAAATAACGATTTTGATGTTTGAATTTATCTCATTGCATGTAAGGCTAAAATTAATCTTTCAATTGCTGGCAGCCGCAGTAGTATGTTCGTACCAATTTTATGAAATAAATAAAATAGAGAAAAAAAAAGGACTGTTTCATTGAATTCTTTTTATTTAAATTTTCGTATGTAATAAAGAAAGATAAATAATATGTGTGTTGTGAGTCATTGATATGGACAGCTTTACCTTAGGGACTAAGTAAAAAGGAATTTTTTAAATTGCTTCAAAAAAAAATGAACTATTTCTATGGGATCACTTTTTCTTACGGCAAATGCATTAAAATATTTTATAAAAATTTTTCTTAATGAATGTTCGAAACGTAAAAGTTTTAATTGTATTTATGGAACTGTCAACGAATACACAATTTTAATGTAATGTTGAAATTAAGAATTCTAAAAATTTGCACAGCGATTCTTTTTTGGCCTCTTATAGTTAGTATTTGTTTATGAAAAATTCAAATTGTATATATTTTAAAATCATAATACTGTAAGGAAATTTTTTATTTCAACAGATACCAAATGAATTTGAAAAGTATGAGATTTTTATTTGATGAATGTTCAGATATCAATTATTTTAATAGTTTATCTTAATGAAGAAATTTCATTAGCATATGAGAATTCCCGTTCCGCCCTAGCTCATTAATCATAGCTATGTTCTTGTTAGCTCAGTAGAATACAGATTAAGCACTGTATCATCAAGATTTCTTTATCCTTTTTTATTTCATCATAGGTGCAATTGTCTTCCTCTGATATAACATAAACTCAGAGAAAAATTAAGCCATATAACTAATTTGTCACTTTTGGATTTAAAATTCCTTCTCCATATTCTTGTCTACAGACAATCGTATAATTGTGACACTGGAATGCTCTAAGTATTGCTGTGTTGGTTGGAAAAGTGGCGGCGAGGAAAAAGGTTTGAGGGGTGAAATATGAGCATTACTTTTGAGGTGCCGACCTAACCAATACATATAGACTAAGGCCTTTCAGGCAAAATGACGAATGATAATTTTAAGGCCTGGAGAAATTATTACTATGTACTGCTTTATCTTTTCAATGGTTTACTACAAATATCCTTACTCCTCCTTCCACCTTTTCTTTTCTTCTCGGTAAACCATATAAAAATAACTATTATTCATTTTCTTAGCTATTATACATAGTATGCGCATTATGAGCAATTAGAGTTGTGCTACTGTTGAATGTAATTAAAGTATCGCATACTGTCATATTGTTATCAGAGAAGAGATCTACGCAGTGTATCTTCTCTTTTAACTTCATTCATATTTATCTCTTTTAATGTGAAAAATTAATCTACGGAGATTTTGTTACGACCATATTTATTGATGATATGATAAGGATTATTTACGTTCATTTCAAATAAAATTTTAAAATAAGTCATCAAGTATAAAGCTAGTAAGTTAATGATAAATTATCCTACATTTTCATCATCAAATGATCATTTGGTAACGTGTATATTTAACAAAGATACTATGATATTATCCAAATTAGATATTGTATCAGTTTTTTAAATGAATCTATTCAATTGTTAAATAAAGAAATTGCAAAATCCAAACGAAGTAACAAATTAATAATAAATTCAAATGCATGCTATATTCATTTTTCAGTAAATGATTATTATCGGAATATTTGAATTTCATTAGTTGAGTGTTTAAGTTTCCTTTTTGTTACAGGGGAATATTTTGAATTTCAGGTCAATATTCTACCTGTCAGCATGTTATATGCTTTTTTCATTACCTCTGTTAAGTCGAGCAGTTTTTCCATATGAAAGGATTGTATGCGATAAATTACCAACCGGACAAACTTTTCTTATCGTTGGAACATTGGACAATACATCATGTGTCATGTCATTCATACTTACCTATTATTTCTCCGTTGCTAGTAGTTTATGGTGGCTTATGCTTACATTTACATGGTTAGTACTTCTTCCTCAATATTTCATGCATTGTTATAGGTTGCAATGCCATGAAAATAAATAGTGCAATGATAATGTAATTGATGTATAATGATAACATTTCGATTGATTTTAGAAAGTAGACAAAAAACTGGAAGAAAATTCACTAGTAATGTTCAAAATGATATCATTCAAAATTACTTTTAATTAAAAAACTATTCTCATTTTCCTTAACTTTTATTGTTCTTGCAAAATCACACTACAAGATAATTGAGTTTTCAAAATTTTTTAAACAGTTTATTTTTGACAACTTCAATTATAGCACATATTTCTAAATCGTTGGCCAATTGAACAATTAGATCCTTGGGATAATAATATTTAATAAAAGGTATTGCAGTATTGCAAGCTAAAAATTTTTTAAAGAAATTCAAAGCTTATTTTGATTGTTCTATTTATATCAGATATAAAAATATCTAATTAAAATGCAACTAAGACTGGAATCCAAACTAGAAATCATTCGTTTTCCATAGTAATTGAATCAGCCCAAAATTTAATTAGAATCTATTCTTTTTCGGACCCAGCCACTAAGTCTGAAAGCGGTCTATTTCCTATTAATGAATTTGCATAAAATTTTCTTATCAGAATTCTTTATTTAATCAAGGAAAGGCTATTTCAAAAGATCTCATCTGTCCTGAGGGAATGGTACGAAGAAACTTCATCTAAATTCACATTTGAAATTACATCCATGTTAACTCATTCAAAAACAATCGCCAACATCTTTCCCTGATGTTCTTTGAATAGTTCTATTTATTATTCGTTGGTGCTACAGTTTGATTTTGGATAACTTCGCATGAAGAAAGATGATAGGGAATGCAATTCAATAAGCATAATGAGAAGATAAGAATAGCGTAAACTTTGCTATCTGTCATAGGAATAGTTTTTATTAATCTTTCTGCAATATTTGCTGAAAATGGTAGAAAGATTGTGAAGATGATTATTGAAAAAATAAAATACGAAACGTGATTTTTAAAAAATGATTTATTGTGGTTCAAAGAAACTAAACCCACAAAATCATCCCACTTTATGATGTAAAACTTCCAAGAATGAGTGGAAATATTGGCTTAAAAGTCATTATAAAAATAGTTTGTACAATCAAAGAAATTCAACAAAACTTTCTTTTACAACATAAAAAATGAATTATCAAAGATGTAAAAGTGGTTAGTACTAAGCGAGGGAATCCAAAAAGTCTTTCAACAGTTGCTTAATTCTACTGTTGAACTGATGAACAGAAGAAATGCGGGTATGGATATGGATATGCGCAGAAATAAATTTGAACTATGTGATCAAGTTTAGTATGATGTACTCACTTCATGGCTAAGTGCTATGAAATGATCCCGCAAGCAAGTTGACGAATAAGATGTAACTGAACAGAAATAATATATGTGATTATTATTACTATTATTATTATTATTGTGATCAGTGTTATTGTTATCATTTTTTATTATGATCAACGTTGCCGCTGTTATCACTTTTATTACCATTATCATTATTTATTGTTATTGTTGATTTTAGCTATGCAAAGTTTCAGGTACCTCTCAGCTGCTCGTAAATGGGTCCCAGAAGGTATCGATGCATGGAGCAGTTATCTTCATTTAGTTGCTTGGGCACTCCCAGCTATTCTGACCATTGCAGTGCTCACTACGCATAAGGTTTTGTTTGTCCTTCACATTCATCAAATATTTTCAGAAATGATCTTTTTTTCCCAATTTCAAATCCTCTCTATCTTAGATGCATGTCACATCAGAACAGTCTATGATCTATCATAAACCAGCAGTCTAAGCTATGATGTTGTCGTCAAGTTTCTATCAGAAATAATGTTAGGGACAAAAATGAGAAGAAGTATTTCTATCATGGATTGCTTTTGAAATAATAGCTTTTGAAATAATAAGTTACATTGTGCGTTTGAATACTATAGATAGTAATTATTGTTAAATCTAAATGCGAAACCCATTTTATACTGGTAAGTTATCAAAGCTCTACTATACATACATTTATGCTCTGATGATTTCTGACCTAAGCAAATTTTAGGTTCCTTTATCAAAGTTTAAATGGAACAAGTAAATTTACTAGCAGTTTTAATGGTCAAGCTTGAGGAACAAAAATTAGTTTGGCAATAAAGTTTGAAACTTTTTTATAGGTGGATGCAAACGAATTAACAGGTTTATGTTCAGTCGGTAATGCTGATCCATGGGCTTTATTTGGTTTCATTATCGTACCAAAGTTGATTTTTGTTGTGGTTGGTAGTTGTTTGATTGTGGCTGGTTTCTCAAGTATGTGCCGAGAACGTGATTCTTTTAGGAGACGAGTAGGTTTACATTTAAAAATTATACTTCTGCGTTTTGCTATATCTGTGAGTTTGCTTTGTCATACTTTTTCTTCAAATTTAGTATAATTAGGAATAAAATCTTTTAGGAAATATGAAAAATTTTTTATGCCATTTTAATCGATATCGTTCAAAAAATATTTGTCTGTACACAAAATATTTTCTACAGTTTGGGGTTTCGATCTGTCGAACTTATAAAATCGATTCCTATCCTTTGTAATGGCTATTAAAATGCACATAAAAACAAATATTTTTCATCTTTCTTTGCTGTAGCATAGATAAGAATATTTTGAACTATGTTACATATTTTATATTTGAAATTTCTAATAAATGCAATTTGAACAGGGAACAGATACATCAAAACTGGAGAAGTTAATGGTGAAAATGGGTATCTTCAGTGCGCTTTATATAATCCCAGCAATAACAATAATTATTTGCGACAGTTACCATATGTTCATTCTGATGCAGTGGCATCCAGCAACTATTGCTTGCAAACTACATGGTGGAATAGAAAAAGGCCATTGTAAAAGGCCTGCATTACCACAGGTATGCAAAATTTATCGGAATTATATCATTCGAAGTAATAAGGACTTATTCTAATTCGAAAATCTGTGAAACAGATTATGTCTTGTTTTGATTTTTTGATGAAGCTTTTACTCCACTTACAATTCAAACTAATTTAAGGATGATAATTAAGGAGTTTTTATATATCAAGTTTAATAAAGTTTACAGTTATTAAATATCAGTTTTCTAAATCTTTGACTGTACAAAATTTCCCATCTGGAGCTTCTGTCATATTTTAATTTACTCTCTTATTGCTCGGTATTTTAGGCAGTTTTCTGTATTTTTGTTGCTCAATTTATGAATTAAAGAAAAACAGATGGACGGACATTCCTTTGATGATTGCTATTTGACTAGCAATAAATATCTAAGAGGAAAAATTTTTTCGCATCACAAAGAAAGCACCCCGAGAGAATTCACTTTTCTACAGGGATTTGAAGTTGTGAAAAAATTATAAATCATTTAGTTTTTATTCGTTTTTAAATCGCTTTTTTCAGGTTGAATTATATTTTTTGAATATATTCATGTCGTTGGCAATTGGTATTTCAACAGGAATGTGGACTGTTTCTTCGAAAACATTCCATTCCTGGCAGCGAGCTATCTGTTTCGGTCTATGTTCTACAGCGCCTGCGAAATACGGTTCCGGTGGTGGAGTGACTAGTTCGTTAACCACTTCAGCGACCCTTGGAGCTGCTAATCGACCACTCATCCCAGCAGCAAATCCACCACCCGCTCCACCACCACATCATCATTACATGCCGATGACCGTATCCTCTTTACCACCAAGCCATATTACTGTTGCACAAAATGCTGTTTCTGCTGCTGCTTGGAAGCAATCGAAAATTATGTAATATTGTGGAAATTTTAAGTTCTCGAAACTTTAAGAAACGAAATCGGCTCCATATTTCTGAATCAATTTGCAATTATCTTTCAGTTTCATGTTCATCAGTAGGTTAAAAGTATCAAAATCCAAAGATATCTAAATGAACCAGGATGAAAGCTATGATAACAAATGCAATTCGTTATCATTTGCTTTCTTAGGCATTTTATCCAGGTCTAAGCGAACAAAAAATAGCTCAGAAGTGTTCGGTGAATTTTTTGGTATGTATTAATCAAATCGTAAGTTTAATTTTATCTAATTAGCACTAATTAGCTAACTTTTGGGTATTTCTTGGCTGAAAAAATAAATCGAATATGAAGAATTTATATGTTTTAATCGAAATTCAAGACAAAATGTAATGAAAAAAAATCATTAAAACAAATCACTATTCTACCTCGATTTGCTTGCAAACACATAATAGCTTCATTTTCCTCTTTCTTTTCCTTGCTTTCTATCTTATTGAAATATTATTTTTAATATTTATGAGTAATTTTTGTTTTTTGTTTCTATTACTCTTTTATTGTTTTAAGTGCCATTGCAATGTGACAATCCATGACAGTATATTATTTAATCTTTATGTGTTTTCTTTTTCATCTTTGTTATTCGTTGTAGCGTGGATCGATATTTTATTTGGTTTTAATTTGCCTTAGATGTATTCATATGAGTCCGCTTGATCTTTTCTTATCATATGATTAGCCATGAAAAGATATCATGCAAGCGGAGAATGATTTCTGGCAATTAGCTACGAAGAGATTTATATCAAAAGAAAAATTGAATGAGTTGAGTTACTTCTCTATCATACTAATGCTAGTTTCAGTTTTTTAACGATCACCCTATCTGCCTGCAAATGTAAATGCACAAGGAAGTTTTTCGGTGTGCTGAATTGTACACTACAATGCATTCAAATATTTTGCAAGTTGACATTTAGAACTCTTCAAATTTTATTAGCAATTCATGTAAAGATGATTATCGATCTGTTTAATTTACGAAATTGGTGAAGAATTATTTAGCTTGACTAAATTGTTTATAGTTTGTATGTCATTCTAGTTTTAGAATTGACTGAAGTGATCAAATAGGTTTGAAAAGTTTTGAAAGTCAAAAAAATTAAAAGCAGCTTACTGACGGGTCAATAAGTTTGAATCTGTTTTACGCGATTGGTTTTGTAGATGTTAGAGGATTCTATACAAAATTAATATACTTTAGCTTTAAGAATAGGAGGAAGTTCTGGAAAGTTATTAAATAAAGAATTGTCGAATGTTAACATCTACGAAACTCTACCGATCTTGGAATGTATAACTTACTTCTTTGCTGCCAGCATATTTTTTTATTTTACTTCAATTTCTTTCGTAATTGATGAAATTTAATGTACTAGCAGTGAAGACTGTTTTTTTTCTATTATTAAATTCATCAAGTTGTAACATATTGACATGCAAAGTTTCAGGCTAAAATAGAAGATATTCTAAAATTTCGATTTTAATAGAAATATTGAATTGCTGAAGTTATTTAAGGAAAATTTTTAAATTGAATTAAAAAATTCAAATTCAATGGGAGAAGAAGATGATGGACCATTTTAGTTTCGGCTCATCATCATTTTCTCTGCTACAAGTTTTTCAATTTCTTATCGTACTTCGTCGATTTATTTCTTTCCTATCTGCCAGCTTTTAAATGTTTTTCCTTTTTACATAACTGCTTTAAATCAACATATTTTATTTGAGTTTACACTTTTTCTTTCTGCAAAACAGAATATATTAGTCGTGACAATCAAATAAGAATTTTTATTGTACCTAATATGTATGCAATACTAAAAATTTCATTGAAGAATGTCTTTTAATAGGTGAAATTTTGCATTCATTCATTCGTCTTATATGCATAAAACATTAAAGGAGCCGATTGTTGATTTTGCAAACTGAAATTAAGACTTCTTTGATATGAAAGTTGTGGATTGTGCATAATACAGTAATAATATGAATCATCCATATAAAGGGAAAAAATATTGTGGAAAATTCTTGGAACGAACGATGTGCAATATTTCTCCGAAAGCTTTAAGCAGTAAGACTCAAAGTGTTAACAATCGAGATGAGCAACTTTCAGCTACTAATTGCATAAGTAATCATAGATTGAAGAAAGCGATCTGTTGGCGATAGCTTTGAGAAGAGAATTAATATCGTTAGTGAACTGATCAAGAGCTTATGGAGATCTCGGTAAAGAGGACGCTTCGGGTCGGTGAATTTATTGATAATGATCCTAAGGTATATTAGTGTTTGATAATGGAAGGGAATTTTTTCTTCTTGCTCAAAAAATGAAGCAAGAATTCAATAACAAATTCTTTTCCGAATTAGAATTGATTATTTGAACTCAGACCAGAAGTTATGAAAGTTCCAATTTCTATACTGGATGAACAAGGAAAATTTCTTCTAATAAATAAGTCAGAGTAAAATTCACAACGACCATTATCACAAAGATATTTCTATTCACGGACAAATGCTTCGAAGCATCATTGCTTTCGAAGCATTTCTGATCGATTTGGAACGGAACACAATTCTGAAAATGATGTTCGTACGATTCCCAGCTCATCTGAAACAGTCAGTGTTATGTGTAATCTTCTCATTCAGTGAGAAATACAATAATATAAGTTGTTGATATTTTTTTAATTTGAAACTGAAGGATTCCAAGATCTGAACTTCATTCTCTCGAACCGTTTTGTTGACATTATGAAGAATGAGTATGGGAAAAAATTAATTTAGATCTCTAAAGTGAGCGTTTCTCTGATTTCCACTGGAATATATTACTGAGAATTAATTTAGGTTATATATAAAACATGAAGATCATCAAATTTTTGAAATTCTAAAAGAAAAAACTCTATTGGTCTTAAATGTTGTAAGAAGTAAGTGGTAGAAATCATAGTTATGATAAGAGAGAAACATAAATAATTTGCATAATTCATCAATACAATACATATCAGGTTCATCATATACACACAAATATTTAATTACTTAATAATTTAATTCAAACCTGGTAACAAATTTCATGAATTGCATTCGATGGAATCAAAACAAATGTATCGGTCATCCAATCATTCACTGTACGATTTGCTATCAAACTCACATAATGTACATGATTATCGAGACGAATGCGATAATGAATGACGAATGAAATTGGTTGCGACCAATTCGAATTTATATTTAACGAAAATTCAGCATCGTCGCAACTTGTTGACCTAAATGAAGTGTAAAATGAAGTTATTCACATGAACTAAATGAGAGTTTTCCTTTTCTAGCCATGTTTTTATCTTTCGATTTACTTAGGACATTTCATATTCGATAATCATTTCATCGTTTTCACTCTGAGCTCAAATTCCATCAAGTTCAATTACTTAAGGTGCACTGCTATTTCTAAAAGTGAATTATAATTTGGAAGAATGGCTTAGAATACCATTCTATCAAAAAATCATCGAGATTACCCGGACAACAAACTGTACTTTGTTTCTGATGGTGAGGATACTCTCTTTTTTTATTAATTAGTGGTGATTTTCAAAAGTATGCGTTTACCTGATTTTCAATGAAATAAGTTTTGGAAGCCAGTCTACTTCTGTGTATTTGGTTTTGATCAAAAAACTGGGCTGAATCAAAAGAATATTGGAATAATTGGACCAGAAAGTTCTGTAAACTTTCTTATGATAAGTTTCGTAACGTATCATGCTCTTGAAAATTACTTCATACCATTTGCCATCTATGAAATCACATGCCAGATAACCCTGAAAATATAATCAACATAACGTGTCGTATGATCCAGAATTCAAATTCAAATTGTAGGAAATAAATTCAAAAACCTCTCAAACAGAGCAATAATCTTATCTTGTAATTTTCTGACTTGAGACAAGAAAATATTTCTCTATTTTAAAGTAATCTTACAATTTCAATAAAGAATCATATTACAAATTACCTCATAATTTTTGGGTAAACTTTTTAGCGGACAGTTCGGATTACTGGTATTCCAAATTGGTGTCTTTCGGATTGCTAATTGTGATATATAGTGTGAAAGAGCTTTTTGGCATCCAATATAATATCCCAGATCGGGTGATATTCGATAGTTTTTTTGATAACCCTTTTAAAAAATTATCATTTTTTGACAACCGTTTGAAAAAAGTTATCATTATGCTAATATCTAAATAATTGCAAGCTATCCTATTGTTTTAAGTCTCTATAAATTCCATAAATTTATAGAGACTTAAAACTAAAAACGATTTCAGTCTTTATAAATTCATTTATTGAAATTCAACCTTATATCCCAATTCACACGTATTTGGATCACCCATTTCATGCCAAATAATTTGCACAGTAGGCTCCAGACTGGTAACATGCCTTAAATCATTGTCGTAGTCATTTTGCCTCTTATTAGTTTGAAATGATCCGCAAGATCGGACTGTTTCAGGAAATAACTGAAGAAAAAAGATGATAAAGGCGTACATTTTCTCAAATCTCTACAACAAACTAGAGTCGAGAGATTTCCGATTTTGTTTGATATCTTTGATTGAATTATCCAAGTTCATTTATTTCGGATATCTGGCATAGATTCATTGGATGAAGTCAAATCTATACAACTATTCAAATGAGAAAAGGAAGCATAAGATGTAAATATTATAAAAAAGCGAACATACAACCATAACATTATCATTGAGTGATTGCTTTTCATATGAGCATGCTTCCATTGATAAATTAATGAGCTTCTCCGGAGATATATGATAAAAGGCTATAGCACATTGCATCAGTAAATACCACCACCAAAATATTAATGATATCATATGGTTCTTGACCATTGTTATCGAGAAGAAGGCACCATTCAGTCAAAAAATTCCACAGTTCAACATAACATACAATGCATATAATATAGTCTCGTCAATTCTCCTGAAATTTTATAAAATTATAAATAAAATTTTGCGCCTTAAAAACTTTTCAGCAATCTTAAGGGCAATTTGATAGTTCTTAATTGATCCATTATCATCTCCCATACTTTATGATAATGGAAAAAATGATTATCAGTGGAAATCATTTTTTTTCTCGATTTATCTTGTAAAGAGATGATAATAGTGTGATAACAATTGACAATCATTTTTATGAAAATTATGCAAAAACTTCGTTAGAAAGTCTAATTTATAATTTATGATTGGATATATTTACACTGAGAAGTAAATATGCAAAGGAATTCCTAAGAGAAAAGTGTGAATGAAAAAATAACGAAAGAACAGGCAGGAATGGATCCAACAATTTCAGTAAAATAACTTTCCTACGTAGAATATTTCACGGATAAATAGTTTGAAATAGCCGATCTTTTTTCCAAGTGAAGACTTTTCCCTTCTTTTTATACCATCCAATATAGTCGTGTCCTACCCGAGAAAATATTATTATCAGAATAAAAACAAAAACATATTTATTTTTCTCTTATAAGAATACTTTATCTATATATGCATCAATTATGTCATCTAAGCAAAATTTAATAGAATAAAAGCAGACAGGGAGAGAGAGAAAGAGAGAGAGAGAGTGTCTTTGGAATACTTATTTCACGCAATTAATTTATTGATCATATCACAATAATGATAAACCACAAAACTGTCATCCGATTGTGTTATGCAATCAATCATTAAATGGCCGAGAAATGATTGATGACCATTTCAATGTAACTAAGAAAAGAACCATCACAATTTCCCATTAGAAGATGGCATTTCTCTTTTTTGTTTTCCTCTTTTTCACTACTGATAAAGTAAATAAGTGAGTGTATCATATTGGGTTCCATCACTTCCATTATCGTAATGCTATCTTTTAATGGGAAATTGTAATAGTTCCATGGCTTCTATCATCAAAGAGAAATTGATTTGAAATATTGAAATGGATTAATTTTACTTATTGTCTTCCGTTGTAAACAACCGATTTTTATTTGATTAATTAAAAGTAATTGAAGGCTGCAAAAAAAAAAAGATTTTTAATTTTGTGGAAAAATAAACGCTTTAGGATGAACTATAAAAGCGATAATGAATTGAGTTGCACATGTGCTACTTTGTTGTAAATTAATGTAATTTAGATTAATTAAGTTGCTAAATAAAATAAAACAATCGTCGAAACGGCGCTATAAGAGAATTCGCTATGTGGTATATTTTGAAATTTGAAATATCTATGGGAAATGAATGAAAAGCCCATATTCTGGGAGTTTTAATCTGCAGAAATAATAACAAAGTTCTAAAGAGGTGAATAAATAAAGTAAACAAAAGATGGAATAAAAAAAACCTAAATATTATTTAATTCCCTCACATATTCAATTAATTAATAAAATAATGAAATTCAATTAATTGATGAAATAGCGAAATTCTTAGTAGTTAATGTGCTGACAGTCATGAACAAAAATATTTGAAAAAATAATTAATATATTTATAAAAGTTTTTATAGCTTACAATGGCAATAGTAATAGGTAATAAAAACAAAAATAAATTTGTGCATCATTCGAGCTAATAATTGAATGAATAGTTTTGTCGACTTTTTTACTGTTAAATGTCTTTATGAAATCATTTATCATCGATTTTTTCTGAGAGCTCTTTGACTGTCATCAAGAATAAGCGCTTAAAGTATGATAAAACCTGTTTTGATCAACAAGGAACTTTTGAATGTCTTTTTTTCTCTCTCTCTCTATTTTGGCCTAAATATTCATCCATCCCACTTCAAGCTTCAATTGAAATCATTTTAAATAAAGATGAAGCTTTTTGCAGTATATTTCAAATAAGAGAATAGTTAATCTTATGATATATTTTTTGTGTAAGAATTTGCAATCGATCAAATTATCTGTCCATTACTGGAACTATCAATGCTAGCTTTGTTGATGATAACTTTCGCTGATCTCAATTGACTAGTCCATTCTCGAATTCTCGAAATGGAGTCTAACAAACCTAATAAGAGAAATGGAAAAAAGACCATTCTCGAAATGAAGCCTAACAAAAAGCAAAAAGGAAATAATCAAATTAATTACGTGAAATCTTATACAACTGTTCATACTGATCACGTAATTCAGTTTCTCGTATAATTCACAAAATTCATTTGAATAATGTGACGTAAAGTCAAAGAGCTTTTTCATAAGCCTCTATTAGGAGGTATCAATCATGAACAATGACCAGCATTTCATGTGTCTGCATGAGACTTGAGTTTTCATGTTGACCACGCTAGGACAGTTTGTGAAAGTTTGTCAGCGGCCCTTTCTCGAGGACGGCCGTGGTTGAGTTACGTTGGGGTGTGGAACAAGATTTCGCGGGCATTGCAAAGATTATCGAGCTACTAGAAATTGAGAAAAGTCATAAAAGAATCATTGAATGTAAGATGAAAGGAATAGAACAATTAGTAAGTAGAGTTGAATTGAACCGAACTCATATATCTTCCTTTGCCAAGTGATGCATGTTGAAAGTGTTATCGTTCTTGGTTATAGAATTTACTGTACTCAATTTACTGTATAGAGACGGGTAAATGGGGCAAATTCTTGGCAAAAAATAATAGATGTTTTTCAATGTTTCAGGTTTTACTTATGGACATTATATCAACAGACAGTAAACCTCATTATCAGATTTCGTTTTACTCCAATAATGAAAAGTAAGTCATAATTCTTGTATTGTACTTCTTATCCGAAATAGTAATTTATGTCCACATACCTTGTACGCTTGTTATTGCTTGCATATGTATCACTTGTAGTTCTCCAAAAAGTGAGGAATGCTTGTCATTTTGTTTGCTTTTTCTTTTTTATGAAATATATGTTTTGCAGTTATCGCCATATCCCGAGTGATATTTTATCTGTACCGACTGATATCACAGTGGATAAGTTAAATGTGCTTGCAAATACGACTTTGAACAACATATCTGGTTAGTATTTACCACTTTTGTCGAAATTAGATTCTGATTGTTGGCTTCTTCTCCTTTTCTTTCATGCGCATCTTAAACTTGAAAATTTGATTGAAATGTCTTGAAGTATGATCTTATCAAAATTCATCATAGTGCCATTAGTATTCGATGATATACAGTTTTTATATCACATCTAATTAAGCCGTTATATGCATCCCAAAGCATTGAAATGTATTTTTATACTGCAATACGTGAATGCAATTAGTATATGAGCTTCAACGATGAAAAGCAAGGCTTTTCTGCTAAGGCAAGAATTGATATGGATTTACAGCGTTTCGTTATATTTTTCCTATATTACGTTGTATTGTTCGTTAATTTGCAAATATTTTTAAAGGTAAGGAGCTCAAGTCAGTTGCTTTCGATTTTCTTATTTCATCGACGATTTTGCGGACTACGTTAGAGGAATTTGTCCAAGAAAATCATGTTCCAGTCGTAAATTTTTTAATTCTAATTTATTATATCTCTAGGTAAAAGTTCAGAATCTACATCAAAAAAAAGATTACGTTTCATTCATTACCATCATAAAACAGCCGATAGTAAATTATTTAAGGCACTGTCCAGTCGATTAATTTCGGATTGGTCTATTTCCGGGAGTATAATGAGAATTACTTTTCAGGAATCAGTTATCAGTATAGAGTGTATTGTTCAGGAGCCAGCACCAGAACCCGATTCTGATATTACCTTGCCTGACTGGATTGGTGCAATTAGGTGCAACGACAAGTTGTAGGCTTTCAATATCATTGTATTAATTGATCTGATGCAGCATTATTCATTCATCAGATAGTTTTGTAATAATGATTTAAATTAACATTGCAATTGCGTGATAAAAGCCTGCTGTACTGAAAATAAACTATCTTTATCTGTAAATCCCTTCTACTATTCCAGCATTGCATCTGCTACATATGGTGGTGAACTTGTGTTGTGGAAGCACTGTGGGAAGAAACTAACATCATCGGTTTTACATGAAGAAGCTATAAAGTGTCTCGCATTTCTCCCCGACCAAAAAGGTTACTGAATTTGAGATTTTCAGTTTTGAATTAAGGATTCATTTAACGCAGCAAAATTTAGTGGTCGCAGTGTGCAAGGCACGTCCTTCAAGTCCTTTTTTAGCCCAAGTACTGATTTCATTTTCGTTAGTTTATAGCAACTGTAGTTACGAAATAATACGAAAAAATTTTATTATTTAGTTTCTCTGATAGATTGTGCAGATTTAGTTTTTGAAAGTATGGTTGGTTTTTAGGAAATCGAATTGTCACCTGTGGACATGATCAGGTTCTGATGGTAAGTGATGTAGAAATAGATGGATCATCCAGTTTCATAAAGCCAACATGCTTACTTCGCGGTCACGAAAGAAGCGTAGAATCCATAGCCGTGAATACCGATGGTACTCGGACGGTTTCAGGAGGCTTTGATAAAATGTTGAAAGTATGGAATACCGATAAAGGTTGGCAATTTATCACTTTTGCGACAATTGCGTTGAATTTGCCGAAGTCCAGTTTAATGAGTTGGAACTTTAGTTTTACTGTATTCAATTTAAAAAATTGTTTCATGCAGATGACACATCCACTATTTTCGAAAAAGCAGACAATGGAGAAACGAGCAAGAAGAGAAGGACTGATGTTATCACTAAGGTATACAGCACCATTTCTTTGTGGGAAATTATGATAGTCTGTCTCATTGAGTTTCAAAACTTGAAGAGAGTATTAGAGAGAGAAAGGGCTCCTTGTATTTTTCTACTCTAATTTATTAAAACTCTTAGTATTCTAGACTCCCATGGTTACTTTATCTGGTCACAAGGATGCTGTTGTCAGTGCAGTCTGGTCATGTAATTCTACAAAAGAAGTGTTAACAGCTTCATGGGATCACACGATATCTCTCTGGGATTTGGAGCTAGCAGGTATGATGTAGCACAGTGCTTAAAAAACTACTGATTAATAATGAATTCTAACTTCACATCACTAATACTAACTTAAGTAAAGCTTCCATCCTACTAACTTCTAACTATCAAATCAGTTTTCTATCACACGTCCCGATAGCCGAAAGATTGTGAACGTCATCAATATCTTTTTGTATTGTAACACTATTAAGAATAAAACTGTTGTTAATTATAGTAAATAATTGAATGTGTTCCGAAATGCAATTACCACAACTTTTAATTAGTTATTTTATAAGCTGAATTACTGCAAGTGACGTAAATATCAATCTACACTTTCAGGTCAGATAAGTATCTTAAATGCAAAGAAGGCATTTACAAGCATTTCAATGTGCTCTTCAAGTAGCATGCTTATAAGTGGTTCAGTAGATCCGATTGTAAGGTTATGGGATCCACGAAGTCACGGTAATTTTAACAATAATTAATTTTTAGCTTGAACTAACGAAGTCATGAGATAGAGATATATCTTACATAAATGTGGACTCTAATATTTGAATTTTGAAGCTGTCGATTTATTCAATTTATTCAAGAGTTTGTGTTTTGATGCAAATTTAGAAGGAGCACTAGTGAAACAGTCGTTTATTGGTCATTGCGGTTGGATCTCATCAGTTTGTTGGAACAAAATGAGAGAAAATCTCTTCATTTCCGCCAGTTTTGATAAAACAGTAAAAATGTGGGATGTAAGGTAATTTTTTTTGATTCATTTGTATATATGGTTATGGCCTGTCCAGCGATGACGATTATTTCTTAATATAAATAATGCAGTATTGGATGCAAGGCTCATTATATGTTAGTTTTTTATATTGAAACAAATAGGCCATTATTAAATGAGTTCCAGACAAGAATTATTCAACTTTGTCTGTCTCAAGTGAAAGTAATTCCGTAAATTTACAGAAGTAATAAAACTTCTTTGTACGATCTTGTTGGCCACAGCGATCGTATATTGTGCTGTGACTGGTCAGTGAATGAATTAATTGTGAGTGGTGGTGTGGACTGTACAATGAAAACATATCGAAGAAAGATCTAGAAGTTGATCAACTCGTGACATTTCTAAATGTGACATGTCGATAATCTTGGAACAAAATTATAAATAGTGATGTCCAAAAAAAAAATTTTAAATCGCTTTTTTAGGAATCATATTTTTTCGAATAAAAATTTAATGAATAAAAGTAAATAGGTAACTGATTGTTTTTATCGTTTTGAACCCTGCTGTTGTAGACCTGTTCTGATATCGAGAAAAGTGTGCCAAAAATTGTCTCATAATTCCTCATACTTTGTGTGGCACTGTTATGTGTTTGGATTTAGACGTTGGCGGTGCCTATGTATATTTTGTTAAGTTTGTAAAAAATAAAATATTTTCCACCAATTATTTTTACCTTTTAAAGGTTTCATTTCCGAAGCATATTTCTTGCTCATTTGTGCTAGTTTCATTGTCTCAAATGGCCTATGTCCATATGTTTTGGCCTTAACATTATATAAGATGTTGAAACGATTTGTTACACTGTTAGATTGCAGTAGAACACTTCTGAAGGACGTCAAACAAGCTTATAAGTTCTTGACTGATAAGTTCGGAATAGAAGGAATTATTAACAAATTATACCCGGTGAAGTGTTCCACATTATTATGAATAACTAAAATAATATAAAATATTTGCTGTTGCTAGAAATACGTATTATAACAGAATAAGATTCTAGCAGTCATCTAGTACCATAGATAAAATATCCAGTAGGATTTTTATACGAATTGTTTTTTAAGTAAAGAATGTTTAAAGTTTGATTTTTTAAAATTTTGAAAAATTGTTGTTTCAGATTTTTTGCTGGTGACATATAATACAGTCAGAAGTAGCCATGGGTAAAGGGTTTCAGAATTTTATGAGCAAAAAGGATTTTCATCCGAGTGCTTGGTGGAATATCAGGAAGGTATATATTTATTGATAATTTTGTTCTTAGAAGTGAATTTTCTCATCCTATACGTTCTTTGGAAGATTTTCTGAATTTTTTGTTTTTTAGGTATGGGAAGCACGTCAAAAAGATGAAATGGAGAAAAAACGTCAGGAAGATTTGCGTGTTGCATACGAACGTGAGCAAGATATACTCAACAATAAGTATGGTTTTTTCTTTCATGGTCGAAATTTGAAAGTGATGAAAAGCTGAATATAATATTTTCGATAACGACATTAGATTTATTTCAGAGCTCTTCTGGGAGACGAAAAGGCGCGTATGGGTCTTTCGTTTATGTATGATGCACCTCCTGGAATCAACAGAAAAGAAGAGGACAAACCGGAACCAAAATTTGAATGGCAAAGAAAGTATAATGCACCGAGAGAAGAGTAAGTTTTTCAGGTTTTTGAAATGCATCTATTTTTAATTTCTCCTATTTATATTTAACAAATTAGTAGAAGAGAACGCATTATCCAGGCATATAAATTTCACTAAGAGGATTATAATTCATCTTATTCTTGCTCTAGTTTAACTTAACATTAATTTTTACAACCTTTTTTTGTGTTTGTATCACCATATCCAGAAACTTTTCGCATTATTATTAAGCATAAGGAAATTTTTTATTCATTCAATGCATTAGTCCGAGGTGACGCCTGCCTTTCCAATTCTATGTGATGAGTCCTTTTCTGTTAATGAAAGCTACGACTTATCTATTATTCTTTATTAAAACATTTTTCTTTAACATTTACGATGCTTATTCATTTAATTCATAAATAAAGATATTAAAGCATTTAAATGTGTTAATATATAGTGATAGCATTTTTTCCTTCATGTAATTTAATTTAGCTGGGCCAAGAATAATGATGCCATAACTGATCAACCTTTCGGCATACAAGTGCGTAATGTTCGGTGCGTGAAATGTCACACTTGGGGGCATTTGAATACAGATCGTGAGTGCCCGCTATACAACATGAGTGGAAATTTCGAAGATCCTGGATGTAAATTTTTTTCCTTTTTTCGGATTTTTTTTGAAATTTCTTCGGAAAGAAAAAAACAGTCTTTGTTTCTCTATTTCCATCAGCGGTTGGAGTAAGGGCGAATAATTTAGATAACTGAGTTTCGTTTTATTTTCTAATAATCTGGAGTGTCCTAAAACATAGCATATTTCTTCTTTCTCATTTAACTTGATCGTTTTGGAATTTTTCATGTGAAAAATTTTAAAGAATCAGCAAAATTCGTTGGATATATATTACTTCAGACGGACCTCATGTTTCAATAATTTCACATTTTAGATGCAAACAACCCATCTGATTTGTTCAAACAACTGCAGAAAGACCGTATAGAGGGAAAGGTGTCCGAAAAAACAAGACCGAAAGAAACATTCAAAAGTCGATCATCAAAGCATACGGCTACTACCGTAGATGATGAAGAGAATGGGGAACAGTGGGAAGAGTTAACTTATGATCAACTAGCAGAAAATATGAAAGAAGAGCATGGGTTGACCTTAAAAAACAATGTATTCCAAAACATGCGTGCTGAGGAAAGCATTATGGTATGTTGCATTAAATAATAACCACCAACATTTCAATTGAAAAGTGGAGAAGTTTGATGATTATCGTCACTAACTATCTTCGGGCAGCTCTTATGTAAGTATCGGTTTAGTTCGTCTCCTGCACTCGAAAGCAATGACCAAAAAGTTTTGAGCAATCTATGTGAAATAAGATTGAATTATCCTTTCAGTAAATTATTGTGAAATTTTACTTTCAATGTTTTGTAGATGCATATGTGTCATTCATAATAGATATTGCAGAATATGAGTTCAACCTCAGAGCAGGAAAAAATGGCAGCATTTTTCAGTACTCTCAGTGAAAAAGAAAAGCGTAAATTAACAAAGTAAGTTTTTATTATTTCTTACTTCAGTAAAGAATGGTATAATTTCGATAGTTTAAGTTACTGAACTTCGGCTTATATCTCGACTAACGGAGTGTGCTTTGGAAATCCGTCTCTTAAAAAATAGAGCTAATGGAAGTCACTTTACTATACGGAATGATTTTACAGACAGTTACTGTCAGCAACAAGTGGTAAGTATGAAAAAAAGAAAAAAGAGAAGCGAATGAAGTCTGAGAAAAATGGGAAAAAGAAACATCGAAAGAAAAAAATTGGTTAGTTTTTTCGTTGTTAATATTCGCTGTATGATTTATGTTATCCTTTTATGTTATGCCTGAAATGTTAAAAAATTGTAAGCAACTGTTTTTTATCCAGCAGTTTCAATTTCCACTACTTTGCCTATTGTGGATTATGCTCTAGAAAGTGGAAATGTGCCCCCTGCCTGTTTCAACGAAATCTTAACTTTTAATTCATCTTCGCTACACATCCTATTGTTGTTATCGATTACTCTGTAATGAATTATGCAGTTTGCAATTATACAGACTCGTGTGATACTTTTATTATGCGCATTCAAAAATCTCTAAAAGTTCGAAGCTTTTTTGATATTCGTGAAAAGTTCAAAGTCGCCTGTGTTCTTCAAGTCCTTTTGAAAAGCACTAAAAAATGTTTTTTTCGAAGATTTCGGTGAGCCGTCGACATCAAAGACCGTCCATGATGAAAAACGGAGAAAAGTTGAAAAAGATGGAAAACACAAATCTCAAATTGGTTCGGATGGAGAAACAGATTGGTTTGACGCAGGAGAATTTCGAGGCACAAAACGGTCGAAAATTCCATCTTCAGAGTCAGTGGACAAAGTGAAGAAGACAAGACATCGAAGTCATTCACCTTCGCATCATAAGAACCACCGCCATCAAGATCGGTAAGGATTTTAAAAAAGGAAATATTTTATTTTAGTAAAGAAATATTTTTTTAATAAAAAATGTCTTCAGAAAGAAATATTTTACTTCCCGCAACTATCTTTCTATGAAACCTTAAGTGACATTTTTAATAAGTCCATGAAGTTTAAAGAAAATGACTTTAAAGAACATCTCGAGTTATGTGATGTGATAACATCATAGATATGGATATAGTTTTTACGCCTATAACATAATTCGTTTTCCTGAATTAGATTACTTTCATAGTTGTTTTCCTTTCAATATCTTATTTTTGAAATTAAATATTCAGGTCCCATCGTTACAAGCACACTCGTGCAAAACGGTGAAGGAATTTGTACGCGCTTCTGAAATTGTTGCTAATTCTTAACTGCATTGTTTATTGCACTTTAGAATTCTTCTGTGATAGTGACTGATAGGCTTTCAAGTATTCCCATTTATTACTTCCGCGATAATTCAATGGTCAGTTGATAGAGCTTGCTATCATTTTTGTGATCGCAAGGCTAAATTATTTGTACATTGAAGTATCTTTTGTGTCTTTTTTCTTACTTATCCAAAAAATTTGGATATATCATCAGAGCTTTTTTGATTGTACCTGATGGAAAGTTTGTTAAGGCAGTTTATGTTTATTCCCAAGGCCTCTAATCAGAAGCTGAATGTTCTTTGTGTTGTTAATAACTTTTGCGATTTGTCGCGACGTAAATAAAGATAAATAGACATTGCTGCAGGTTTATTTAATTATCAATTGATAATTTTTTCTTCCCTCTAATGCTTCTTAAATCAGAGTTCTTGATTTATGTGAATCTTTAGATGGAGCCTACTTTGAAAAGATTATTAACAGGCTCTTCATAGTCTAGTGATGTTTGTACTTTGACATTCTTGATGAAAGTTTGTGTCCGAGTATTGTTATTAAAATTTTTTACTTTTTTTGAAAGACAGACCCTTTACTGTAAGCTTGTATATATGGCGTCATATTGCTTAATAAACAAGCAAATCTCTGAAGACGAGTTCCAGAAATTTGTGAAGATTTGACATGATAAAGAAGGATGTGGCCTTATGAGTGCAAAACAAGGGTTGTGAGAGAGGTCGCACAGATGCTGAGTCTGCGAATGCAAATAAGTATATAGAAAAAGGCCTAGTCGTAGTTTAGTCTCGTCAATTAGGCTTGTTCAGCGTCAGGCTTGGTGTATCTTAGTCTCTGCAATCCTCTCTTTGCATGGATATAAAATAAGCGGGCCTACTGGTTGTGGTGGTGGTAATGCTGCTGCTGTTGGATCCAACTGCTTCCATTATTGTTATTTGATCTACAAAGCAGCTCATCGAGCTAAAATTGCTTCCAAGACTCCGCAGAGGAGGAACAAAATCGATTCTAATTTTAAAATTTGAAAACCAGCAAAGATGGTGGAAGGAGGCATTATTCTTGTCAAATATTTGCTTTTCCTTGCTAACTTTATTTTATGGGTAAGTTAATGTTGAATACACCTTAGCTTTTATTTTATCTGCTTATTTTCACATCATTTTCAACTCAATCTACATTGTGAATATGTCCTAGTCTTACATGCTTAAATTTGGTTGCTAATCATATTTGCAGTGTACAAAGGTTAATGAAATGATATTAACAAGTAAGAAGTTTGAAATACCTCGAGAAGAGTTAATTATTCGTTAGGAGTAAATCATGCAGAGTGGGCGTTGGTCAGATTTGTTGGTTGAGTAAATCGTACATTTAATTTTGGGTCAGTTTTTGTGTATGTTTTTATTTCTTGCTTAGCTAACAATTATACTCAAATTTGTGAAACTGTTAAAAATTGAAAAAATACTGCTAACACTTAAGTTGCTAACTGTCAGATATTCTTCATTAAAGACCAACCTAAATTTAATTTGTCAATGGTCTTATTCATTCAAGGCATAATGAAGTTCAATAGAATTGATAACGAAAATTTCATGTAAAGCAATGTGTTTTTCAAGAATAGCTTAATTCGTCTAATAACGGAGATGTTATGAGAGTAATTGTAATGGTAATGAAGTAGAATTAAAAATTAAATTTTGGAAAATTCAATATAACAAAATCAGAATAAATTAAATTTCATAATCAAACATATAATGAACAGATAGTATCCAATAATTAAAAAGAATTTATCTTAATAACATTTTAAAGAGATAATTTCACTTATATGACGAGATCGGTAGATTCGAGTTGATAGATCAAAAGAAATAAGGCATGATTATAATAGGAAAGGCCTTTGATAAAGAACCATTTTATGTTGATATTTACTCGTACTACTAAAATACTCAGAAATTGATTTATAACTACTGCTGCACTTAAAAGAAAAGAATTTGAGAGAATTTCAAAGTAATCAATTTAGCGCTTTTCATTTGATGAATAATGGATAATGGATCAATAGTGTGAAAATTTCTCATTTCTAAGCCCCCATCCAAATATATCAGTGTTATCATTCAAAACAAGTCAAATGTTTGATTTTCATGAAGTGAAATAGTTCATTCATACTTTTTATTTATTCATTCATCACGTATAAATAGTTTTAGGTCATGACCTTTCCTTATATTTTCATTAGAAGTTCCCTATTTGTATGATATGTTGAAAGGAATATAAATTGAATTTTAACCATTCTACACTATTTCTTTCTTTCCTCTATGCACAGAATGGATTACATTAATTGATACTGCAATTGATTTATTGATATATTAGGAGATGGAAAGGTGCAGTTATATAGGTTTTCACTGATAATTAATAACAAATTAACTATTATAAATAACTTATTAACCATTGCAAATAAAAGATGAAATTGGATATTTGAAAAAGTAAAACATTAAAATTGAAAGAGAAATTTTCTTCGGAACATGGAAAAAGAATAAATCTTCAAAAGATTGATAACAACAATTTTCAATTTCAAAATTATTATAATTTTAGGCAGGTGGCCTTGGTCTTGTAATTGCTGGTGCAGTACTGCAATTGAAGTATACCGGTTTACTGGATATATTGGGTGATGAAAGATTAGCAACACCAATACTGTCACTTGCTGCCGGTTTACTATGCTCCCTATTGGGTTTTCTGGGATGTTGCGGAGCAATCCGGGAGAATTATTGCTTAACAGTAAGCTTCGCTGTCCTACTAACTTTCGCACTAACAATTGAAATAGGTGTTGCTATCACCGTTTATGCATTGCAGGAATCTCTTCAAGTGAGTATTTTTCGATAATTTTATCCATTATTCATACTTATTACAGCGAATTCAAAAATAGTTTCTGTATTATTTTAGACTACAAGAAGTAATCGACTGATCTATGTGAGAAATAGAAAGAAGGCATATTTGCGAATGCAATTATTGCATATTATTCTCCTAAAGTTTTAGGCTTCTTTATCGCAGCAATTAAAATTAGGCCTACAAAGGTACAATCGTTCAGCAGGTGTTCGAATGGCATGGGATCAAACTCAAAAACAATTTGAATGTTGTGGAGTGCATAATTATACAGACTGGAATACTCCGCCAGATTCATGCTGTATTCAGATTTTACCTGGTTGTCGATTAATTCAGCAAAATTTACAACCTTCAGGTATTTAATTTTCATCAAAGGCACCAAGTTTCCGCTTTCGCATTGCGCATCTTTTTAATTTTTAAAAACTATTGAAGTTTTAATCCAATGTAATTGTTGGTCGAAATGAAGTATTACTTTAAGCAATAATGATTTTATCAGAAAAAAATTTTTGCTAAATTACTTCAACAAAAAATTCTTCACATGAACATTTGAATTATGGCCAAGGCGAGATAGGATGAGAAAATTAAAAGTCAAAAATATTCACTATATATATATCTGCAAATGAGGTCAATTAGTTCGACTTGTTGTTTTGATCAAAGAAATACCTAATAACTTCCGACGTGATCCTCGTTCAGCATCATGCGTGATACGTACGTATCGCATTGAATAATCAAAAATATCGATAATTTACTAATACATCAAAACGTTATTTCACATTCGAATATAAAAACTGCTATGAAGATTTCTTGAATTATGCATATGTCGTCACTTTAGGCTGCATGGAACGCTTGGAGCATTGGCTCATTCTAAATGCGTCAATGATTGGCGGGGTAAGTGCAATCGTCGGCTCGTTACAAGTAATCGGAATTTGTTTTGCCTGCTGCTTGTCCAAATCGATCCTCAAAGACTTTCATGATTCCTATTATTAACTAATAATCAACGGTGTCACATTTCTTTCATTCACCAGTGACTTTTTCTTTAGCTTACCAAAAGCTTTTTGCGCCATTTCACAATTGTATACCATATTACTCTCTCCTCTTTTTTACACGTTATATGTAATTTAAATATACTCATTTCCAATTGGAAAGAAAAATTAAACTGCACTAAAGAAATCCAGATTTTGTTTGTTAGCACTCTAGAAATATTAAAACATAAAACTGAAATACAATCAACTTATGGAAATTCTAACTTGAAACAATAATTAGTAGATGAATGATTTTATAGGTGATATGACTTTCAATATCAATGTTCAATACCAATAAAAAATGAAACCTGAGTAAAAAAATCATCAGAACTTCAACGTGATGCATATAGCAATTGAATAAAATGAAATGGAAAAACGAACGCACAAAAATTCCCAGGACTAACTTCACTTTACCCTTCGGATAAGTAATGAAGTGGGGTGGTAATTTCAACATGTGTATTATAAACTGTTGTAATATGTACGGCAAAAAGAAAAGACATGAATTCATTTTTCTTTCTTTCGCTAATGTATTTCTTGCACATTTCATATATTATAATTCAAGTGAAAAATCACTATACAAAATAGAAATACAAAAAATTAATAAAATGTGTATTGATGAAAGAAGAGAGGAATAAGGAATGAAATACCCTGCTTGATAAATGGAGAATAAGCATAACTTTTGTTATAGTAATAATAGTGATAAAAATAATAATAATAACAATACCTTGGATATAGAGCTGTGTCACTATCAATCATTTAACATAAATGGAATCGCATTTAGGACGGGCTGTTTTGTTTTGCATTTGCTTTCTTTGTGGGATCATTTGTTTTGTCCATATATATTACTTGACATTTTAGGCTAAGTATTTCCTTTCATTTTAGATATAGCTCATCATGGCGCACACATCGAAAGCAAACGATCAAACTTGACAAAATATAGTACATAAAAATAATCTTCAAACTAGCACCCATTATTATGTAATGGTAATAGGCAATAATAATAATAGCAAATATATGAATATTTTTTGGTTGATTTTTCTTAAGAGTTCTTCATACTAAAAAAAAATTGGAAAAATATAAATAAATCCGAATTTATTGCATTTTTGGTATGAAACGACTGACAAATAGGAATTAATGACTTAAATTTTATTAATTGTCAAAATATTTTCTACTTTCTTATCTCATTTCAGTTACTTCATCACATATTGTCTATTTTGATGATCAACAAATTATTTAAATCAATCTTTCGCGATGAAATTGGAATTTGTCAGCATTTTAAGCATTAACAAAAAAAAGGCGCATTTCAATTTAATAAAACTAAATTTTGCCTTAAAACAAGACAAACTAATTGTGAGATTAAATAAACAGCATTGTCATATATCTTCCGAAAACTATATTGACAAAATCTGATATATACAAATTTGCACAACAAAACATAACTGAATACATAACGGCAATCGATGAAATTGAAACCATGACTTGCTAGAAAGATCCATTTACCATCATAGATTGCTAGAAAAGTTTTGAATAATTCGACATGATAATGCTATCAAGGGATATGCATCATTGAAAATAGAATGAAATCAAAAAGTTAAATAAGAGCTGTCATATCATCCAGAAGAACCACCGAAAACAAACCAGATAATTTTGACAGAAAAATCCATTGTGTTATAATATTTTTCAAAAGTATTATGTGACCCACCAAATTTTTTGAGATAGGACCGTACCACTAAAATAACTTCCTCTATCATCATCCTTGACATTTACTATGATGAAATGTTCAATTTAAACAAGCCATGCCTTACTTTAAAAATAAGAACAGATAAGCATATATTGCCACAAAGCAACTGCTACTAACAGAAAATAGAAAGTCATAAAAATTGAATAATCCGTCATAAGAAAAGCTCAGAATATTCATTAAAAAAACTATTTTGGAAAACTCTTTATGTCTTTGTATATACTATTTGTTTATATAAAAAATACATGAAATTTCATTTCTTTCAAAAAGTTTTCTCATCACTCCTAGTGTGTACTCCGTGTAAGGATGGATTTACAGCTTCACTTTAAAAAAGAGTTAAACAACGATATTACATGAGAGGCAAATTAGCAGAAAAATAAAATCTCTCCTACTATTTTTCGGTCCCTGTTAATGAAGTGGTATATTGCTATTTAAAGATGATAGATGATTTTGTATCAAATTAACTTTTTCCTGAAATTCTGAGCAAAAAATTTTTCAAAATTCCATCACTTCTCTATTTCTCTCAATACTTCTCAATAATTTGAAACAATTTTAAAATAAATGAAGCAAGACCGCGAACTGACATTTTGGAGGCAGTTGGTTTCCTGCAACTGAAACAATTATTCTTCCAGTCTTCAGTTACCCTTCCTTCCCTTCTTTTTTCCTTCATCTTAAAGAAGATTAAAGTCTTGTTATTCGCTTTTCATGCTATAGATAAAATTCTTTTTCGAATTTTAACTTCAGGAAAATTTCAGAGATTTTGTGAAAAATTATAAAAGCGTAAAAGCATCAAAAGAAAGAATAAAATTTCTTCGTACAAATCACATTTTTGAATGGTTTTTCTGAAGCAGTAAATTAATGATCAATTATTAGCAAATTCCAGGATGAAAATAATCCTATCAGTATTGGTGCAGAAATTTACATGGAAGTAAATAGGGATAATTGTATGAGTTATCTGAATACTAAATTTCTAATGAACAATAGTTGGTACTTGAGATCGGCCATAAACAATCCTGGCATATGCTTGTGAGTAACTACTCAATGTTTTACTGCTACATACCCATACAGCACATGTTATACCGACTACAAGTTGCATTAAATATTTGAAAAAATAAATCAACAAATCGGGTGGTCTAACGTCTGTTTGCGAGACGCATGTTTGACGTGGTTGTGCAAAACCAAAAGCAGCACGATCAGGACGCGTACATCGGATAGCCAACCAATTGGCCAACCAACTTTCCACCATAAATGCTTCGTAGACGATGCATGCAGCACTAACCATTGTTGGTAGAGTATACATGAAAGCAAATGCTGATATCCGAAGCATCAATTTTTCCAGTTTCCGGATATTTTGATCAATATCACTATGCTTGAATTTGATATAGCGGCGTATCCGAAGCATTGAAATAATGCCACATCCCAATAACAATAAACCAAGTGCTATAATTAGAAATCAAAGATTTTAGCATTGCGATTAATTATTTACATTCATCTATGAATTACTACGTGGCAAACAATGATTCGATTTGAGGATGCAAGATTTCATTTTAAACTTATTTAATGCGAAATAAGATTTTAGTTTACATTCGTTAAAACTGGAAGACTATTTCTATCCTAAAAACACGAGTAATAATATAATTTACAAGAGAAAATCTATGACGTTAGGTTAACCTTTCAACTTTCAATCAGCAATAACGTTGATGTGAAATAAAAATGCGGGTGAAAGATGCGTTGAAAATAGAAAAAAGTGAGAATCACCCACCGATGCATACGAACATTGGTACGAACACGAAATTGAAAAGCGCCGATGGTTTCAAATTTCCTACTGAACAAATTCCTGTGAATAAATCGCCATCGATAGTATTCGTAACAAGAATGACAATTGCTAGAAATGCTGGGATGCCCCAAGCAAGAACATGAAAATATGAGGCTAAACTTTCGATTGATTCCTGGGCCCATTTTAAATTTGCTGCCAGAAACCAAGCTAAACATAATATCACCCACCATATACCACTTGCCACGCTGAAAATACTCAAAATTTTCTTCTTTTGAATTTTAAGATAGAATAAATATAATCCCCTTGCGTTGACTTCTTTATCGTGCAAATGATTCTTGAAAACATAGCCATAATTACTCCATCCAAAAATTCTATAAATTGTATCGCTAATTTAAGAATACCACACTATTATTCACTTACAATACTTTCGAATGTAGCGAGGAAAAAGATTCAACTATTCAACTTGTTAATAATAAATTGATTTACTTAGCCATCGTATTATCTATTAAAACTGAATTAATTTGAAATTTAAAATTAAGACTACTAATGAAACTAACCTGAAATAATAATGTATGACTGCAATAAAAGTACAGGAGAAACTGTCGATACCTTGAGAAACAAGTGGACTATTACTAGCTGAAATAGCCGAGCAAGATATTTTATCCTCTGCAACTAAACCAATCATATAGACGAGTGATATAAACAGATAGCATACTGCTAAATAATGGATAGGTCTAACTGGATAAGGGAAACGTCCCATATCTATGGAGAATGTCAGTACGGTGAACAGCGAGCTGGCACAACATGCAACTGCCCAAGCACCTGAAAATGGAAGAAATTTTAAAGAATATCTAAGATTCTGAAAAAATCTAGTTTTTATGACATTTTAGATTTTTTTCATTAAACCAAAATTAACAATTAACTATCTTAACAAAATTAATAATCAACAATTCTTACATTAACAATCTTTTTGTTTTTTAAAAGCATGAAAGAGGACTATAAATCTGAAGTGGTAATTAAAATAACATTTTCTGATTAATCAATAATCATTCTTTTATGTCCATAATTCTTGGTAACAGAAATGAAACTGAAGAAAGACGTTATAAATAAACTGACCTGTCCAAAATCGTAAATATCGTCTTATTCGAGTATCAAAAAACATTGGTACTAGATTATCAGCAGAACACGGCAGTGAGCATTGCTCTAATGTTGTGTTCGAAATTTTCAAAGAGTACCTTGATTTGCTGATAACCTGCAAAAATCTTAATTTGATTAAAAAATCCATTACAAAATCACAGCATTCTTACGAGCACTTTATCTTAGGGAATTTGTTCATTTTACGGCTAAAAAAATTCTTTAAAAAATAAATATTAAGTTTTACTTGATATTTATTTTTTGTTTTACTTGATACTTCAATTTGTTTTACTTGATACTTGAATTAACTTGACTT